CGCATGCGATTGATGCGGGCAGAATTATGAAGCATCTGAACAGGCTCTCCATGCGATTTCCTGAATGCGGAAAGAGTCTGTTTCAGCCTCACACAGCCAAGAGTCCGTTTCAGCCTCACACAGCCACACCCCCTACCTCACACCTTTTACCCTCCTCTGCAGCCGACCACCCCAGTTCGTACCCTCTCCTCCGGCGCGGCGGTTCACAGAAGCGACCTCGCCCGACCATGAGCACTGCAGTCGGGGGCCGCTCGTGCGCGCCGGCCCGTTCCTTCCGCCCCCAGCGGGCAAGGTCGTGCGGAGCTGGGCGCCGGGGTTCGGCAGCTGTTCGGTCCGACTGCGGTGTCCGTCCCACCGGGACCGGCCCAATCAGACAGTCGGTGAGGTGAGACGTTGGGCCAGGTCGTGATGCTTCCTGTCAGGCCGCCCTGGGACGAGGATTGGGTTCACGCGATGGGAGGGGTCGCTGGGATGTTGTTGTCGGCGCTGCTCGTAAGGAGTGGATGTACGACGTTTGCTGGTAGGTGTTCATGGATGTAAGTGCTGTTTGCTGTATTTGATTGTCGTGTCGCGTGAGGCGATGCAGAGCAAGAGGACAGGTGTTGACAGCACTGGTGGGATACCAGTCTCACATGCTGGAGAGGGGTGCTCTCCTGGAAGAAGGTTGAGGGTCGGTGCTTCTCTAGCTCGATAAGCTCATGAATAACGGTTTACGACGCTCTCAAAGGAGACTGGCTCAGAGAATTGGCCGCGTCCTAAAGTGACATGACGTGAACTGCTGCGCCTAATCCATGTAGTTTATTTCTTTCGTTTACATCTCCACCAAATCGATCGCCAATTTCACTCATGCACTGCTATAGCAATCACCCTATCAGTGAATTGGCTCTCAGGACATCGGATCATCGAGTGTTGGATTGCCGGCTGCATTCGTTATGTTTCACGACATCGGACTAATTGGAGGCGTCTGGTCCACTGGATATTCCATGTGTTTGCTTACACGATACTGAGAGATACTCGAAACATTCTTCCCAAATTAGTTGAGCTTTTTGTTTACATTCTTGCAGTGAGGGAGATATTGAACCATGGGTCATGGAGGACAGGAGGCACCGTAGGAAAGCAGCGCGACCAAGTTAGCCCCAGGACGCTCAACACCGTTTATTGTCGTCGCTAGAAAGCGATCATGCTCGCCTATCTGCGCATAGTTCACGAGCAAATGATGGTAGCGGCACATTTTAAGGCGCCGACTCCGCCAAGGCTAAGTCCGGTGTTCATCCACACAAACACGACACTAAATACTGCGGTTTTATTTTAGGGTCCCGGTTTAGGGCGGTATCGGCCTTGTGATCGGCTATTCGACCTTGTGTCGAACCACATTATGACAGTCATTTGAAACTGGGGCTGGTCTATATAGTATTATGGACAATGGGCGGTCGAGGTTATTTGTTTTGAATCATTTCAGTCGTTGGTGTTACCTGGTGTAATAATGATTTGACGATGATGATACAGGGGCCAATTGCGGAACCGGATGGGATGCATTCACGCCCTCGGCCAAACGATAAAGCTTTGGCACCTACATTTCTGAGCACTGAATTATGAATGACTGAACCCCCTCCGATGTCCGTCTGGAGTTAGACTCGATGGTCGGACCAGCTCACCCTGAAGTTAGCTGTTAGTAGTCACCCCTGTGACACACTGACTCGAACCGTGCTCCGTGAAACTGTCGGCTCGGTCCCCTGTACAGTCACCCCTGTGACACTGACTGCCGGGCCCGTGTGCGCGCCGGTCGCTGATCGACTCGCCAGTCGCCACAGGAGCAGACGCTCGATAAGTTGTGCTGCCGCCTGCCTCCTCCGTCCGTCGCGGGTCGCTGCTACACCGGCGGCAGCAGAGGTCGCCCTCTCACCGCTCAAAGGTCGCGGGCTGAGTATCGCACCTTGTGGACTGGGACCGATCGTAGGCAGAGTTAGAATTGCTTTATGGGAATGAGGTCCGTGCTGAGGGACTTTTTGTTGTTATTTATCTGGCGCTGAAGATTCTTGTTCAGATGTCAACTATAACAAGCTTCAGTGCCGCCAGTAGCAAGGCGGTTTTGAGTTTATCTCATTTTTTCAGCAAAAGTGTTGTGGCACATCGTACGGACAAGCCATGTCGACGCGTGATGTGTCCTCTCGGCTGGCTTCATCTCTATTAATATCTATTTTCACCTCCAATTTCTGCATACCTCCGCGTCTCTGTCTGTGAACCACAATGTGCGCCGGGGCGGCCCCACACCGCTGTGTCGCTCCCAGCTCGGCCCGGGCACGCAGCAGAGCGACCGACGCTCTGTCGCAACCCCCCCCCTCCCTGCCACAATGCAGAGCACGCAGATGGCTCGCGCAGGGCACGTTGCATGCCACCCCCCCCCCCCCCCACTGGTCCTGTGTCCCCTCCCCTCCCAGCCGGTACGACCCACCCGGACTGATACAGTGCACATTAGAGGTGCGGGACCGTCCTCAAAATTAGCCATTGGCGTTTAGGTGGAATGTCGCTGCCACGAAAACATACGACTATGTGCTGTAATTTTGAGGACGAAGAGAACCCTTTGTTTGTAACGTTCCTCTATGAGTAGACGCCGTCAATTTATACGGAAGAAATGGACTGAAAAAAAGGCTTCGTCCGCCTCTCCATCTTATCCATACCGCAGCGACTGCAGCCAATGCTATTTCGCGTGATGCCAAAGTCGCTTGTTCCTCATCATTCGACTTGCCATTTGGCGAAACTCGGCGGTATTTATTGCATCAAAAGCCCATTGAACTTGATATTGTGCTTGTCTCATCTGCAGTCGATAGACGGACGGGCTCGTATGTTGAATATTTGCATCACTAGTGCTGGCAGGGACGGCCTGGTGGCCCGGTCGTGGTGGGTTCTGTGCTCGATACTGCACTGGTATCGCACCAGAGCGGGCAGAGGGGGCGGAGAGTGGAAGAGAGGCGCTTGATGGGGACACAGAGAGACGGTAGACGACTATTCGTAGTTAATTTTGATATTTTACTCTAAACGTCCTTGCAACAGCCATGTACTCGTACTCGCTCAATGTACTCGTAGAATAAACCGAGCCTTGTGAATGATGGTTATTTTTATACGAATAGGTGAGTCCGTTTGGACTGTTAAAGTCGTTTTCGTGACGTGATATCTGTCTCGCCGTCCGCCTCCTATAGTATCCACTCCAGTGAATACCTCTCAGTAATTGGATGTCTCGCCAGGTGATTCGCGCTCCGTCTGTCCTTTCCCGCTCCGTTCAACACCGCCTTATTGACCGGCGGTGATTTGAGAGGCGAGTACACAGAGTACGAAGGCGTCTCAATCTAAACGGGCCAGTGACGTCAAATAAACGGGCCATTGACGTCATCCTTCAGCAATGACAGACGGGGAGCAAAGGGTCCGCCTCCTCCGCGACCTGTGACTGACGAATGGACTCGGTGCCTTCAGCCTTGTGGTGTGCTCTCTGCACCATGCAGCTGTGCAATGTGCAATGTGCATCCATTCCATAGATCATCTACCTAGACCTAGATATTACTGTCGATAGTCTTCAGTGGTATACGTTGGGTTATGATGTGGGAGACCTTATACATGAATATAAGCTTCTCACTTGATTGCCAAAAGTTCTACTGAGCTCAACTCAACTAATCTCTCGAAGTGGCTACTGGCCCTACCTCAAGGCTCTCCCTACCCATCTCTTTCCAACGTGCCTTTCATCAGTCTATTGGTATAGCTGCTGCCACTGATACCTATCGGAAGTTAATGTCACTGGTTCACCCTGTCCTGTCGGCCGCCTGACCTTACCCACCGGAATGGTGGGATCACTTACAGGGGTTTCTATTCGATTAATTATATACCATGAGGTGGTACCTGAGACCCGCTTTAACTGTTACGGGCTATCCTAGTGGGTAGTTATGACACGTTAATAACGAGCCTTTACAGCTGTCTCGGCTGTGCGTCACCGTAACAGCTCGATTGTTTGCCGTTGGGTCGATTTCCGACACCTTTGTGAGTCGCAGAACTTTATTATTTCATAAGTTAGGCCTTAGGGTAAGGAGCGCGCTACCGCCTTGTCAGACTTGTGGCGTCAGCCCCGGTATACAGCCGTTCGGTCCGCTATAGAGTGCCCAACAAACAATGCTAATTGTTTTATTATCCGGACGAGGGACGTGGTTTGCTGGTGTACGTAATTGCTACTGTTTGTTGTTTAAGTACTTATAGCCCCCCCCCCCCGCGACGGATACAGATCAGTTTGAGGAGCTCCATGATATGGCATACTTAGATAAAGCTATATGCAGTAAAACCTACCCCATGCTCGACAGTACGAACTCGATAGTACGAATGTTGCAGCGTAGGTAACCTTCGTACTCTCTTCGTCAGAGGCGGATCCAGCTCAGAGGTTTGGGGGGGGGGGGGCAAACCATAACAATTTATCGATTCTTTCCATGCATCGTCCATAGGCGTAATGTTAAAATTATGCCGTTTGGGGGGGGGGCAAATGCCCATTTTGCCCCCCCCCCCCTCCCCTGGATCCGCCACTGCCCTTCGTAGCGTACGTTGGTAACCTTAAAGCTCTCACGAAAGTTCGCCGATCGATGTGTGAACGGTGACTATTTTACCACATTTTCTCAACTTGTTTGTTGCTCACTGCTCAGTCAATACTCATTACTCATGTTTCCCCTTTACCGGACGACATGTGGAAAGTAAACTCGTGCGAACTGTGTGAACCCTTGAGTTGCAGGAAGATAGTCGGTGGTGCAGTTGTACTGCAACAATCAAGCGGAAATCAGCCGTCTTTGTGCTGTGATAAGCCTGATAGGTCAGGGCTCTCACAAACGTGTTGTATCTACCAATGCCTACGCAGATAACGTGCGTTGTAAATTTATCAAATGCGTACCGTTGCGTCTGAGTAGGTATGCGCTTAGTGTTCTGTCTAGTTTTAGCGACTGAGTTCTGATTTTCGTTTTGTTTCTGTTTGACAGGGTCGTCAAGATACCGGTCTCTGAGGGCGTCTGACCGTCTGGGCGGAGACAAAACCAGTCGGTAAGTATCTTACCGCACACCGTGACAGCTTTATCTAGTCGGTATTCTCCCGTCAAGTTATACGTTAGTCGTTAAATACCTACATGCAGTCGCCATTACATCAAATGGTGTCGTGAGCCCGTGCGGTGTAGACATTTATTTTAATTATGTTCTTTATGGACTGTAGCGTTCTTCATTTGCACTCATGGATGCAGACATGACCTGAGGAGGATTATCAGTGATTCCCAGGTCACTGCTGACATTACGTTTTGTGCTGTCGCTGACTATGACCGGCGACATGATACACAATGTCAACTGGGTCAGTTTTGCACCTCTCCTATCAACACTCTAAAGTAGTCCTGTTATCAAAATACCACCAACATTGAACTGCGCGCCCGCACAGGTAGTCTTTCTGCTCTGCACTCAAGATTTTTAGAGCTAGAAGGCTGATTTTTCGTATAGCTGCTCCTCTATCCTTTCTTGATGTCCACTGAAAATTTCAAGTTTCTGTGATTTTTTGTTTCGGAGATATGACCTTGTTTTTCAGGTCATGTCATGACCCAAATGGCCAATTCTCAACATCTTGCGTTTGCCATGGGCCTTGTGAGCTTTTGACACCCTGATTTCGGCCTTTTTTGCCAGTCTTACCTCCCACCTATCATGGAACATGTTGTTCGACGATGTACAGGGGTCAAGGTCAGGGTCAAGGTCAACCTAGGTCATCTAAGATAATTGCGTTTTAGGCAAGCTGAATTTACTTTTTGTGAAGTTTTTTGACTGCATTTTTGGTAAAAGCTTCTCAGATCATGATCTCATGTAATATGGACCCAAAAACAATCGGTGCACACATCAGTACCTATACACACAGACACACACAGACATACAAACACATATAATTGACCTTGACCTAACTTGACCTGGAATGACCTCAGCAGCAAAAATCTGGTCGGGTAGTAAGACAAGGAGGTTCTAGCTGGCTTAGCACCAGAAAACAGCATCGTCGTCGGTATTTGATAAGTAGCGCACTTGATATTCAACGGTGACCCAAAGCAGCAACATTTTTTAGTTTGACCTGACCTGGAAGGTCAATGACTGACCTGAGAAGGTAAAACTGGATATCATTGGATTCGTCTCTTCCCAAAGAATCTTTTTGGTCTTTACCGCTAAGCTCTATCTCCAACAGGAACGAAATGGCGCGGGGGGTGGCAACCCCCCCCGCGCCATTTCGTTCTAGGATGGGAAAATGGCATGTGCGGGCGAGGGTTAAGACCAGTGAATTTCCTCTCCCCGGCCGGGCCCCCTCCCATATTCAATCCCCCTCGCCGCTATTGCTGGCTCGCATTCCACCATTCAGACTCGGACGTGCCACCGCGCACGTCCTTCCATCCCACGCACAGTGACGTCATCTGTGACGTCATCGCTGTGGCACACGTCGGCGGAGAGTTTCGCAATGTGTTTTTGTGGCCGTTAGATTCAATGCAAAACAGAGCGGCTTGCTGGAACGGCAACGATCGTGCTCGCGTCGGACGCGCGACGAATGATGACGTCATTACAGTTAGGGGATGCTATAGGGGGGGGGGGGGAGGGGCCAGGGGGCAGGTTGCAGGAATTTGATGGAGCGGATGTGTGGTGAGCGGGTACAGAGCAACAGGGGATGGGATGTATTGAACGGTAAAACCGGGCGGGCTGCACCTAGGTGCGAAGGATGGAAGAGGCACGGGGAAGGGAAGGAATCCCAATGGACTTGAACGGAGAGGGCAGATAAATAATTTGCTTTAGGTATATGACGGGCCACCCACGGCCCAGCATCAGAACTAAAGACTAGTGCCCCAACTCTGACCTTCCCTCCAGTGCCCACCTAACTCCTAACACGACTCAGCCGGCTCCGAAATGCCCAGACTTTTTCACAGCCGAGCCTAGCTTCGCCATAATGAATTCCTTCCCCTCAATCATACTTTTTCGGATGACTTCCCAAACAACTTTCCACTTAATTCAGACCTCATCCTCGGCTATTGGATCGCGGCGAGCGCCCGCAAAGTTCTGAGTCAATTCTACAGCACCGCCCGTGCTGCCATCTGTCGTGCTGTTGGGCAACTGAAACTTCCTCTGCCGCCCGGCCTGCTCTGTGTAGCTGTGTGTAGCCGGTGCGGCTCCACAGCTTGGTCCCCGGTCGAGCCCCCGCCGACCGCGGACCGGCTCCCACCAGCCGCCCGCCCGCCGGCGACGGATGTTTGGCCTCCGTCGGCCGGATCCCGTGCCCCGTGACGTCATCAGGCCGGAGGCCCCGCCCCCTTCGTCCGGATCCCGCCGGTGTCCTGTCCGCGCCGCGTTCGTATCCGGCGTGTCTGGAGTTCCGCCGTGGAACCACCACTCTTGGATCCGTGTTGTTTGTGCGTCACGTCAGCCTCTCTGCTCTGTGCCGTCTGTAGTCCTCTCTGTGTATATTTTCCCTGTCCTCTCCAGCTGGCTGGCTGCTCCACACCCCATTTCCCGACCTCTTCATCGCCACTCCGCTCTCTCACGGTTGACCCTCTCCCCCGAGGGTTCCTTGGTGCTTCTCTCAGTAACAGACACCACCTGCTATGTCGTATTGCATAAACCGACACACAGTGGCATTTGCTATGATTTGTTGAACTTATGAACAAAATAAAACAACTCAGCAAAGGGCTCTGCTGCTCACTGATCTAAGATTGGCGAAACTACCCCTTCTATTCTAACTTCATCTGTATGAGATAATAGCACTGAGCTTTATCTTTATTATATTTATCTTATTTTATTATTTTTCAGCTCCAAGGATAAGTTTCTAGCCTATAGATTCAGCCCGTGGCAACACCACGTGAATCGCTCACAGTTTGCGCATATTTACCGCTACGAGAAGTCGAGGTAAACTCGGATTGAACGCCTGTTGCCAATGATATGCAGAAGCCCGCCGGGCAGCCACCCACTGCCCTCGTTATACCGCCGGGTGCCTGATGAGGCCCGGCGGCCGTTCCCAGTAGCGTGTCGCTACGGCAGCCGTCGTCCCGGACTTGGTCGAGCAGCCCTCCCAGTTCACACACTTCTCATTCAGCATCCTGTTGAGGCTCTTTTCTCGGTGCACCATATCACCCCGTGCGTCTGTTGGGTGGGTTGATTTGTTGGTATCCAGGAGTGGTGCATTGCTAGGAGATGTGGTCACGGCCCGGAGACCCAGGGCACACTCGGTCACAGATGGAGACCCCAGGGCCACCACGGTGCCGAATCGGGGACCCAGGGCCCATCCGTTGCGGGACCCAGAACTCAGGGGCTGATGTCAGGGACCGAGAGCCCGCCTGGTGTCGGTGCCAGGCCGGAGACCCCACGCCGTGGGAGCGTCATGGCTGTCTCGCAGTGACGCAGGCGGCCGTTGTGACCCTCTCCCTCTGTGTGGTTTCAGCGCAGCCCGACGCCGGGAGGAGGCGCCCTCCGCGGCCCGCGGACGGTCCTGAGGAGCGACACCGGCCGGTCAGCCACCCCCGGACGGAGCGCAGCGGGCCGGCCGGGCCGACCGGCGAGCGCGGCCCGTCACCGGTCAGTCGGCGGACGGGGAGGACGGGGAGGGAGGGAGAGCGCTGAACCCGGCCGGGAGGCCCGCCGTCCGCCGCCGCCCGCGGCATACCACTCTCCCCCGCCGCCGCCGCCGGTCCGAGGGGTGGGGCGGATCGGAAGGGACGCCGGCAGCGGTGGAGGGCCATGCTAATGGCCCGGACTGCGGTCGCAGGGGAGGGCACCACCAGCTGTTTGCGCCGCGCCGCAGAGGGACACGGCCGGCCGGTTTAAAGACTCAATGGGGTGGCCTTGACATATTTTTAAAGCCCGTTCGCGGAATTGTCCGCCGTTTCGGCATGCGGTCGGAAGCGGGCGTTTGCGCGGAGTGGCGCTGAGTGTTTGTCAGTGAGCGCGTTATCTGAGAGTGGGTGAGCGGACCGGGCGAGTGCGCGGACTCGGGGGTGGCTCAGGGGTTAGAGGGCTGGGTGTCAATGAACTGGCGTCTCTATCAGCTGGGGTGGCCGTAGATATGGTGTGGAGGGGAGCGGGGTCGGTGCTGGTGCACTGTACTGGCGGATGGTGTGTTGTGTCCCTCTCCGTCTCTTGTCTTGCTCTCTCCCTTCACGCCTCTCATTATTTTTTCTCCTTCTGCTGCGCCTATTCTCTCTTCATCTATGCTTTATCTGTTGTACCCATTGCTCTCCCTTGTCCTTTCTCGTGCATGCATGGACATCTTCATTTTGTCGAAACCTCCTTACAGTATAATGCACCCTTGCCTGTTTCGTGAGGCACACCCTTCTCTCTCACATATTGGTCACTGTACTAACGCCCGTACCTCGTGTTACTGTATGCAAATGTGCCGTGGGCTAGGCCCGACTCGTTGCCACAATTCCTTCCCCTGAACGGCACAAGTGTGCTGCACTGCTGTGTATTCCCATTTGTTGTGGTGGGCTCACTTGTCTGTACTCGTTGCGCTTGGGTCACTGCTCTGGCCTTCGTGCGTCATGGGTTCAGGTGTGCTGCTTGCTTTTACGTTTAGCGCACGTTGGTGTAATGTTGGATAAGCTCTTAGTTGCTGGTGCCCCGTTCTGTACCACGCTTGGTACTGACTCCCCCGCCATCTGTAAGTACACTCGGTGGTAGCCCTCTATTACTAACTTCCGGTCCTCACCTCGCAGTGTACTGTCTCCTGTACAGTCTGTCTTAAAAGTACCGCGCAAAGTGGCGGTGGATCCATGCATCAACCCTGACCGAGAAAGGGCCTGTTTTAATCTTAAAGTCACCGACCAATTGACCTAGGGAATGGACAAGGATGTCAATTGCTTCGGTGACCCAAATTTAGCAGGCCCTTGCTCAGTCAGGCTCGATGGATCCACCGTCACTTTGCGCGGTACTTTTAAGACAGACTGTACCTACTTCTCCTGTACTCCGGATCTCTCCTTGTGACCGCCATATTCACCTCTGTATAGTATATGCGTCATGTACGCCGCTGTGTACTGACCCCTGTATTTCTCCTCGTACCCAGGTAGGCCGATGGGCCGGCTGGGCGCGGCGCTCGACAGTCGTCAGGGTCCCCTCGCCACCCAGTCGCCGGCCACCATGACGCCGCGGCCGCCCAAGAAACGCTACCTCATGGAGTACCCGGCCAGGTTCGGGTCGCCTGTGACGGAGGTGAGATACAGAGGGGCACAGACAGGATAGTGTGGTGGGTTGGAGGGCGACGGTGCTGCCAAAGATCAGTAAATATACTGGTCGATTGCTCTCAAGGGCTGTGTCAGGCATCAAGGATATCGTGGGAACTGGGAGCTGGCGTTCATTTTGCGGCAAAAACATGTAATGGAATGAACGGGGACTGAGCACAATTCTGACTGGTCATGATTAAAATTATAACTCGTTAACAGCCATCCAGGATCTCATGATGCAAGGCATAAAGCATCTCTAATTATTATAAAAGTTCAGCCATCAGAGTCGCTCATGCTTGTAGATTTTACCACATGCCGAGATATCTCTTTAACATTAGCACGTGCATTTGGGAAATGGCTTCGGCCCGCCTCGGCTAATGTTGAAGGTATTTGGGAAACGATTCGGCCCTAGGGCTTTTTGATTTTCCCAGACAAAGTTTTACTGAATATTCTGAGCGGAAGAACCAATTTCAAAGAAGATATTTACGGATTGTGTGTTCACTAACAGCAACAGCAAAAGTAAGTGACTGCGTGTTTACATACTTTTGCTGTCAACGTAATTCAACTAAACAAGGTTATCGTTCCAATGCCAATTATGTATTTATTGCTGCAGAACATGGTCGGAATAATAATTATTTCTACATAATGCACGCAAAAAACGAACAATTTAAATGCGTGAAGCATCTTAACGTGCCACAATGAAACATTTGATATTGTTCCAGCTGGGATCCAAGACGCGTCTGATTCAGCGTGCCTACCGGCACTCGGTCCTCCGCACAAAAACCTCGGTGAATAAAACGCATTTTCCCAGCCCCGGTCGGGAATATATATTCCCAACGCCTACCTAAACAGCCTGATGCTGGTGCGTCCCAGCCTCTAAACCCTGATGCAACATGCTCGAATCTGAATGACTTTATTAGAATCTTATGAACAGAATCTTATGAACAGACACTTGGACGATATTGACACTTGTGGACTCACTGTAAAGGACATCGACTCCCTCCTTAGACATTGTCTCAGCAACAACTACATTCGATTTGGTCAAAAATACTTCAAACAGACAGAGGGAGTGGCGATGGGATCCAGGATCGCCCCACCGCTAGCCATTATGTTCATGGACGCAGTAGAATCGATGATACTCACCTCTCCAAATTCAAAGTATCAGCCTATGACGTACATGAGATATATCGACGACATTCTCGGTATTTGGACACACGGACCGGACAAACTAGACGAATACTTCCGATTCCTCAACGACTTTCACCCAGCCCTAAAGTTCACGATAGAGAGGACCGACCAAACTCCAAACAGATGCATACCATACCTTGACACCATGATCAGAGTGAAAGAAGACGGCTCTTACAGCACTGAGCTCTACATCAAACCTATGACAGCCCCCATCATCATTCACTACACGTCAGCACACCCGATGCAATGCAAACGCTCTGTACTACACTCTCAGCTTCTACGCGCCAAACGACTAGGTTCTGATAGACAAGCACAAGAACGGGGCATGGGACTCATGGAATCACTGTTCAGACACAATGGATACCCGAACAGACTCATTCAAAGCACTAAACACAAAATCATGTATCACAGACAAAGATCAAAAAGACGAAACACTAAACAACGAGACACCGACACGACTTTCATATCTCTCCCCTACATAGATGAGACCCTTGCACGACGAGTCAACGGGGTAGTGCGCTCATGTGGCGTACAGGCACGTATCGCGTGGACCAGTGGGAAAACGGTGGCCAAACACATCGTGAGGTCAGCGCTGGAAAGCCCCCCGTGCCCTGCTGGTGCCAAACGCTGTGCCACATGCGAAGCAGGGCTCCCAGGCCGCTGTCACATCAAAAATGCCGTCTACAAAATTACATGTAATCTTTGTGACAATGAAAGTACTATTTACATTGGCGAAACAAAAAGGCGCATCCGTGACAGATTCAATGAACACTTTCGTGACGCTAAGAACAAGGCAAAAAACACCCCTCTTGGGGATCACGTTACCCAAAGACACCCATCATGTACAATCACATCATCGTCATTCAAAATCTCCATTGAAAGAGTGTGTAAAGACGTCGCTGATTTAAAAATATCCGAATCAGTGGAAATAAGGAACCAAAAACCATGTTTGAACACCCAAACTTCATCCTGGCCACTTCTGCAGCGTCCATCGTACACCCCCACATAACTATATTGTACATATCCACTAATTGATTGTGACAACTACTGTCTGATTGTGCCGTTGATTTAGGCTGCGCCAAACAATGAGATGATTCATGCAGATTCTATGTTGTTATTTTGTATATTGTATATTGATCTTGTGTGTTGTATATTGTACATGTATCGTAGATATCATGGACGGCGCATCGTTATTTCGAGAGCCATGTATATATGAAATTATTCTCTCATCAAGGAGCTGATTGAAGCGCTGCACGATTTATTGATTGATGGAATCGAATTTTGTTTGTTTGTGTCGACAATTGTTTCTGTACATTCTGAAGATGGCGCAAGCTGAAATATATCAATGATTTTGTTTAATTATTCAATTTCAACAAAAAAGTGCAAAGAATGAGCATAAGGTTATTTATACATACTTTTCGACTTTATTAGACTCTCGAAACCTTCCACTGGTGGAATGTTTGGCTGGACAGCGTTGAGATACTCTAGGATCATCTCTTCCTTTCCGACCTTGAGCAAACCATACCGGCAAGGAGTGTACTTCTCCAATTGTCGGCCGCTGTCACCGCCAATCCGTATTCGGCAGCCGTCATCTCAGACACAAAACGACCATGCGTTATTTACGAGGGCAGCGGGAGGGCTCTGTCGTCATGCGCCGAATAGAGCCGTTGGCTAACCGGATGCTGATTTACGCTCTTGGCAGGTGATAATAGGGATGAGGGGGATAACTGTGAGATTGGATTGGTCGGATGTGTGAGTGGATATTCGTGAGTTAGTAGGGGATTATGGGAGTGTTGGATATTATCAGAAGAATCGCGATCGTGTGTGTAGACAGGTAGCTCGAGCTCGATCTTCTGTAGATCGATGTAGGATGTCGTCTGTTGGGTCACGGTGCTTTGTATGAAGACAGGACATTTCGGCGAGGCGGACGCGCCACTTGGCTAAAAGCGTCGATGTTACCTACTTATGCGCAAAAAGTAGGCTGGTCTTTCGTATAATTAGTAATATTTGTATCGTCATTTGCCTATGAGTGATGTTTTGATGAATTTATTAGCTAATTATGCACCACGCACCGGTTATCCCCGATCAAAGTACGTCTTGGTAACAAACTATTGCCCTACTGCGTCCGGGATGCGCCGCATACGCCACAGCTCAATTTATCCATCCTTAACATAATTCTGCACGGTGCATTGAACAATCCAGATGCGGCGATATTTACACATCAGCGCGCGCCAACCAGCCGAGCGGCGGGGGTTGTACCGTGCGCACCGCACCTGCGTCGGCGTCGATGGGGAGGGAGGGGAGGGGAGGTCAGGTACCGTCGGCCCCGACAGCAGCCCGCAGTGAGCTGCTGTAACCGGCGGTGGTCGGTTGAGCCTCCTCTGGTTCTCTCTTAGTGCGGAGGTGGGAGGACTTGTCTGAAGAACAACTTGGAGTTGTCGGAGGAAAACAACACACGAACAGACTAGATTGTCAGTTTGTATCAGAGCTGTCATGGGCCTGTCGTGAGCTGTGACTTGTTGTTTGGTGCTCGTATATTTCCTTATATATTTTCCTTATTTGTATTAGTTCCTTCATTCGTTTGTTTTGTGTGACTATGGCGCCGACTTTCTATCCTTATTTGTGGTTTTGCTCGAGTACAGTGACCTTTTAGAGCTACGACGGTAGAGACCGGCAGCACATTCCCGAACTGTTTGCAGCGTGATTTGCGGCGTTTGCTGCTGCTTAATCCTGTTCACTCATTAATGATCATCATTAATCTATGTTTCGAGGGATTAACAATCGACACTCTTCATACATTCTCTATTGTGCGTCATTCGTCTTTTGTGATTACGCTGGTTTGGCGTATGTTCCTCCTGCTGTCGCTGTCTCAGTGCCGCGCGAAAAGAACCGGCATGTGTCGCGTTGTTTTTGATCGGTGCCCTTTGTCCGCTGCCGGTGGCCGGCGCTCGGTGTTGGGGCGCTCGGTGGTGTCACCCGGTGTCGGTGCAGCGCCCGTACAGCTGGCGGGCCTCCCGTCTGACTACCTTGGTTCACAATGCCGCCCGGCGACACCGTGTTGCAATCGGTGGGCGATAGGAACTGACAGGGTGATAACCAACGGACGTTACTTCGTTAACGGCTTATAAAAGTGTCGATTTTTCATCTGACGGACGGACAGTCGCATTTTGTGTCTAGTAGGCTCTTTGTTGGAGAAGATAATATGGCGTGAGGTGAATCTCAATCCGTCACTGCAAATGATTTAACACCAAATAAGGCGGTAAGACGAACCGGTATGCCAGAACAGTGATGTGGTCATTCCATCTCCACCAACACTGGTCATAGCTCTCGGTGATACACTATAGCGCCCTGACGGCGGCGCGGCGCTCTTGTCTCGCCCGAGCGGCCGCCCCGGATTAGATAATTTCGTGCCGCCCAACTGGACTCGCGGCACGGGCTCGTTTGCAGGCTGCGAACTCTCCGACCATGTCGAGAATGTCAGTCGGCAGACTGGCTGGGTCATGGCCGTCCAGTCGTGACTTCGGCGAGAAACTGGAGTTGGTCGGCTGGCGCAGCGGAAAGCCCGGGGTGGCGTGGCTGAGGGGTGGGTAGGGGATGCCATTCGGGGCTTGTATGGAAATGAGGGGGTTGGGATGGGACGAAGACCGTTTTATTGCGGTTGGATAACTAGCCAGTGTTTGTAAGCGATATGCTGGTAATTGCTGGAACTTGCTGTGGGAGTTGTTTGATTTGCGAGTAACGAGTTGTGTCATGGTCCTTGCACTGGATGTTTTTGTTTATATTCGTGTCCATATCGGGATTTTCCCAGTGTAAATGATTTAGTCTCGAGGCCCACTCTGACGACTCCCTCTGCCCGGCAGATGTCTCGTCCTCCGACGGACCGGACGGGTCCGGCGGTGTCGGCGGCGCCCGGCCCGCCGCCGCAGCCGGCCCCTCCGTCGGCCCACCACCACTCCGCTCCAGCGGCGCACCCTCCGCACCACCCGGCCCACCTGGCTCCCAGAGCGCCGCTGGGCACCGCCAACGGCAGCGTCAACGGCGGCCCCAAGCGGCGCCTCTCGGATGACGCACAGCCGCTGAACCTGACGTTAGCAGCCACCACGGCGGCGCCGGCGCCCTCGCAGATCTCCGCTCCGCCCCCGGTACAGGTGTCGGCGCCGGCGACCACCGGGCGCGGCTCGACCCGGCCGCCGCCGGCGCCCCTGCCGTCCGATCCCGAGACGGAGGTCCAGTTCTCGAGCCTGATGGACAGGGTGGTGGAGGGCATGCTGCCGCCGCGCGACCCCGCCGAGACGGAGCGGCAGGGCGACCCGCTGCGGCTGTGGTTCACCAACGAGTTCGACTCGCGGCAGCAGCCGGCCGGCCGGGCGCCGCCGCCGCCGCCGCCGAAAGTCTCCAACACAGTGACTGTCCAGAGTGTGACCAGTGTGCCGACCGCGCTGGTCGGTGGACCGCAGAAAACGCCGACCAAGCCGCCACCGCCCCCGACGGACACGCGGCATTACGCTCAGGACATGGCGATGGACATGAGTAAGCCGGCGCGCTCACCGGTCGCTCCAGGTAGGTGCCGGCCGGGCCCGGTGGAGCAGCGACTCGGTGACACGGCCGCCGCCTCTGCCACCGTGCACGCGGCCGCGGAACGCACCGGCACCGAGCGGCCAGATGGAGACGGCGTGGAGGTGAAAATCGGCATGTCGGAGGCCATCAATCGGGTGATTGACAGTGTGTACCGGCGCGATCAGGCGACGGCAGAGCGCAGGAGCCCCGTCCTGGGGCAGTCTCAGCAGTCGGCTGCAGAGGAGAGACTCGCAGCTCAGTCGCCGGCGCGAGAGAGCAACAGGGAACGGGCAGAGCGTGGAGTCCCGGCGGACAGGTGAGTGGGGAGAGAGAGTGGGAGGGAGGGGTGAGCGCAGGGTTTGTTAGGTAATGGTTGTCGGATGGGGTCAGTGGGGTCGTCAGAAGCGTAGTTGGTTGCTGCTTTGCAGCGAATGCATGACGATGCACATATTGGCAGTTGTAATTGGTCGGTGTTCATAAAACCATTGTCACGAAAAGTCACACAACGGTGGCGCCGAATCACTGACACTTAACACCGAATAGCAATGTCGCTTGCAGACTTGTCGCTAACCTTTGCCTAACACTTTTCTGTTTAAGTGTAGGAAACATTTCCAGTGTAGATATTTTCCCCACAAATTCACCCTGTGTCTACCAATCAGAGAGGATGAGCTATTAGCATAGCTCCAAACCGTGGTGACGTGTATCGCCGCCCGGACTCTCAGCTGCTCCAGAAGCATCTGATCCGACTACTGCGCTGAGCTGTAGCCCTACCGGCCGTTATTTCTGGGTCACTTCCAGCCGCCTGTCTGCTTCCCCCCTCCCCGGGCACGAGTTCGTGACCCGTGGCGTTGACCCGTGCCGTGACTAACGCGAGTCTCCTCCGAGAGCAGTGCCCTGTCCTTCCGGCCGGCTTAGAAATGGCCGCTTCCCGTCCACCGCGAGTGCGTTGAACTTCCTGGGAGCTGAGAAACACACTTGACTCTTGATTTATTTTGTCAGGACAGGGTGTAGGAGACAGGAGTCATATGGATCCTCTTCTTTAGCGTTGCTGGGCAGTTGCCGGCTATATCAGTTTCCATGACAACTGAACTCGAGGAAATTAGTGGAAACGTCGGATAAGCTACTTAGACGTTATTTCACGGGAAATAACCGACATTTTAGAAACAAGAACTTCTTGTGATTGAACGTCAATGCGCTACGTCAACTCCCTAAAAGCAATATTAGCTTCTAGCGCTGCTACGTCGAACTACGTCTTTGTGACATTATTGTGGTATTCTTAGACTCACCGATGTGTGTTATTTTCCTGTGGATGCTCCATCTGTGTTCACAATCTGCCATAGTATTTATCGACGCTATTGTCTTTCATGGTTTGTACTTCCGTTCCGAGACCATTTCCACGATTTCCCACATGTTTGTTTGATGTTTCCTCACTTTCCTGCATTTGTTCTTTGTCAACTCGCTGTAACTCCAGTTTGTTTGCCAATCAGTCGACTAGAAAGTCATAACTCCAAGCGTCACGATGTTATCAGCCGGGCTACGTGGTTCGCAATCTGCCGCGTGGACCATGCCCGGCCTCCGCCCCCTCAGCTGACCCGTTTAGCCTCCCAGCCAGCCTAGCATCAGCGGTCTTGCTATGTCTCTCTCTGGTAAAACACTCGGCACAATCTCTTTTAACTATCTCCTCCATCAGAGTCGGTATACATAATACATGTGCGGTATGCATAGTACACTTCCTAATAACTGTGTTTTCACCTTTATCCTGACCGGTAGGTACTGCTGAGTGTGAACTGTGTCTCCTGTGTGACTCTGCAATCTACATATTCCCCCTTTGCACACATACTCCCTGTTTGTGTCTATTACACTCTCCGTATAACCCCGCCTCTAACCACTCGTCGTCCCCCGTTCACAGGAGCTCGGCGCCGGTCCCCTCCGCTCCTCTCGACGGTGACAACTCAGAGAGGCCACGCTCGGCCGGCCCCACCATCGGGGGCGGGCCGGCAGACCCCACCGCCAGCCCCGCAGCGCTCAATCCGTAAGTCGGCCGGGCTGATAGCGACGAGCGAGCTGTTTGGGAAATGAATCTGTGTTTGGTCTGTTTTGTTTAACTGGTTAGATACGGGTATGTTTGCATTTTCGTCATTTTTAATGTTTTGATTACTTTTATGTGAGCTGCACGCTCGGCACAAGGTCGGTTTTGCTTTGTTTTGGTTGTCCAGTCCCTCGTATTTTAGTCGATAACACCGTTTTTCTTGCTTCCAGTGGTTCCAAGATCGGAGGCGTGGCGTCGCCTTTGAGAAAGGGCAAAAAGCGCTGTCTGCCAGTCGACATAAACTCAGGTATTGAAGAGACCAACCCGCTGGTCGGGGGTGACCTTTGCGATTACATAGCTCAGCATTTTTAGTTTCGAATTCAGTTTGGTAGAGCTGCAAATAGCTAAACGGGCGTAAATTTTATGTTATTACGGAGCGAGCGAAGCGAGCGTAGTCTTTCCTTAGATTAACGGAAATTTCTGAGTATGAGCGGCCGGCCGGCCGGCCGGCCGGCCGTGGTCACGCTTTTGCGAGGCTTATATCTCAGCAACCACTTGACCGATTTACATGCGGTAATTTTTGTAGGGTAGCTTCATTCCTTCTACCAAGTATTGGACTATTCCCGATGCATGTGGGTGACCCCTTATGCACGTGCCACGTGCAAAACGAAGAGGTGTCACTTTTGTAATTGTTGCAATATCTCGGTAACTACTTGGCCGATTGCGCTGAAAGTTGGCATGTAGGTAGGCACCCACTAGGCAATACATATCCATGTGCCAGAGTTGGGGTGCTGCTGCACGTGCGCACGTGCAGGGGTCGATTCCAGATCTCGAGAACGGCTGGACCGATGGCGCTCAAATTTGGCACATGGTTAGGGACCAGTTCGTAGGGTGCCGTGCACAAGTCAGTTGGGACCCATTTTGCACGTGCGCACGTGCAGGGTGCCGCTTCCAGATCTCGAGAACGAGGGCAGTTCTCGAGGGCAGTTCTCGAGGAACGAGGGCAGATCTCGAGAACGAGAACGAGGTCCACGAGGGCAGAGATCCTACGATACGCCGAGGAACAAAAGGTAGATGTCCTCTGCCTCCAAGAAACCAACCTCCGACAGGGACAGGAGACCCCGAAGTTCGAGGGATGGGAGGTGGCGGCGCGGGCTGACAGAAGACAGCATCGAGGAACGCACGCCGGAGAATCCCATGGATACGGAGGTGTCCTGACCCTGGTCCGTAGAGGATGCGGCTTCGGCTTCGAACCGATAGCGTACGACGTACGAGACAGAAACTCCGACGCAGTCATGATAGATATCCAATCAACGACACGAACTGTAAGGCTGCTAAACGCGTACATAGCCACAGTAAAACCAAGTAACGAAGACACGAGAAGGGACGAGTTCAACCCGGACAGCCTCCCGCAGGGAAGAAACGTTATCATCGCAGCGGACATGAACGCACACCACGAACTCTGGGACTCCAACCGTGCGAGAGACCCCAGAGGGGGCAGGATCGCCGAGTGGATGGACCAACATGACATGTGTGTGCTCAACTCCGGAGCTCCGACGAGACATGATGCGAGCGGTAGAGGCACCACACCAGACGTCACAATCTGCCATGCCGCCCTGAGCGGCGGGATCGAGTGGTGTATCGGGGAAGACCTGGCGTCGGACCACCGCCCGCTACACATCAAGGTGGAAATGCAAGTCAAGACGCCGCCCCCAGCAAAGAGGAGAGCGAGACTGTGCCTGCGGAAAGCAAACTGGACACTGTACCGAACACTGACCGACCACAAATTCAAGCACAAGCTACGCCGCATGACATCGACCGAGGCAGCGACAAGAAAACTCACTAGAATCATGGTCCAAGCGGCAGAGAAAGCCATCCCTCGCGTGCCACCCCGGAGAAACGCGAAAGCATGGTGGTGTGAAGAAGCCGAAGAAGCCGTGCAGCAAAGAAGGGAAGCCCGAGACGCCCTGAGGAGAGACCCTGGAAACGAAGATCTGATGGCACAATGCACTGAGAAAACCGCACAAGCGAAACAAGTTGTAAAACGTGCAAAGCTGAACGCATGGGCCCGCGAATGCGAGAAGATGGACGCGGCGACAGACAACTCGCACCTCTACTCCACAATCAAGGCGATGGATGGACGCGGGAAGAAGCAGGGATCGACAGCTATCCTGAAAGTGCACAGAAGATCTGCAAAAAACAGCGAAGGAAAAAGCAGATGTCATGGCTAAACACTATGCCCAAGTCAGCCAATCACAATACTCAGCCTCAAACCAGGAACTCAGAGACCACCAGAAGGCCAGACGACAGGCGGTGAACAAGGCGGTAGCCCAACCATGCAAGCAACACCCAAACTGCCGGGGCAAAGTCTGCCGTCCCTACAGCCTGACGGAGCTGGAAGTGGCCCTGTCTCACATGAAAACAGGTGCCCCCGGCCCGGACGGAGTGATGCCACAGATGCTGAAGGAACTCAGCACGGCGGGCAGGAAGACGCTCCTCAGAGTGCTGAACAAGAGTCTCGCATCGGGAGAGGTGCCCACCGCCTGGCGCAGAGCCAAGATCATACCGATTCACAAGAACGGGAAACCCCCGGAACAGCCGTCGTCGTACCGCCCCATCAGCCTCACCAGCTGCATCTGTAAACTGGCCGAACGCCTCCTCCAGGGACGACTGGCGTACCTGCTCGAAGCGAATGGCACCCTCGTCCCAGAACAGGCGGGCTTCAGATCCGGCCGGTGCACAGAGGAGCAGATCGCTCGACTCGGCCAAGATATTATGGATGCCATGGAAGCGAAGCCCACCAAGAGAACAGTCCTGGTGGCTGTAGACATGACTGCCGCGTACGACCGTGTCAACAAAACCAGTCTGCTCTACAAGATGACGGACATGGATGTTCCACCATGTATGATGAGGTGGATCAGGAACTTCCTGGCAGATCGAAGAGCCAGAGTGGCATGGGACGAGACGGCATCCGCAGAGGTGAAGATGCGGGAGGGCCTGCCGCAGGGAGGAGTGATCTCACCGCTCCTGTGGCTCTGCTACATCAACGACCTGGCACCAGTGCTGCGGCGGCACGACGTGCAGATCGGCATGTACGCAGACGACCTGATCATCTACGCCAGTGACAGCAGCGTCCCCACAGCCCAGGCCAAGGTGCAGGCGGCAATGGACGAAGTAGAGGAATGGGCCTACGCCTGGAACATGATAATCAGCGCCACCAAAACCAAGACAATCTTATTCACCTCCAACGTACACGAAGTAAACTCAAAGAAAAAGGTGGACATCTGTCTGGGGGACACGATCATACAGCAAACCAGCGAAGTCACAGTGCTGGGAGTCGTCTTCGATACCCAACTGTCTTTCACCCAACATGTACAGCAGCTGAAGGGCAAACTGGCAAAGCGACTGCAAGTCACCAAGGCCCTGGCGGGAACCACGTGGGGTTGCAGCTCAGTAACCCTGCGAAGGATGTACTGCCAGTTCATCCAACCCGTAGCGCTGTATGGAAGCGCGGCGTACATGTCGCTGAGCCGGAAGACGAACAGGGAGAAGATGGACCAGGTCGCGGCCGCCGGAGCCCGAATCATCACGGGCTGCCCAGCCGGCACGAGGACGAGGGTGGTGATGGCGGAGGCCAACATCCGGAGCATCTCTTCTCTGGCTGAAGAACAAGGCGCGATCCTGCGAGAGAGGGTCATCCGTCTCCCTGACAGCGTCCCGGCCCGACAGACGGTCACCAGGAAGATGAGGAAGCGGCTCGTGAACCGGCAGACCTGGCGCGAAGAAGCGACCAAGATCGCGAAGGAAGCGCTGCTAGAGGAGACGGAGAGGGAGACAATGTCCCTGCCACCGCGCCCCCCGTGGCTGTCGATGGGGAAAGGAAGGATCAGCTTCCACACGGAATCTGGTGACACCACCTCCAGACATGATCCACCGGAAAGAAGGCGAGCGGCAGCAGAGCGCGTCCTGGAATCCCTGCCGCCCACGGACTCAACCTACTACACTGACGGTTCCACGGAGAAGGGGTTTGGAGTTGGCGGAGGGGGAGTTGTCCGCATCGAGCAAGACCGAGGCAACGCGACCTGGAGCGTACCGGCCGGCAAGTGGTCAAGCTCGTACCGGGCCGAGCAAGTGGCTTTCCTGGCAGCTGTGAGGGACGCAGCGGGAGCTCCAAAGGAAGTCAAGACGACCCGCCTGTGCACCGACTCACTCTCACTGGTAACCTTCCTCAAACAGGGTACCAGAGGGCCCGCCCCAGAAACCTTTACCGAGATATGGACAGGCCTGAACCATCTCAGTCGCAGAAATATGAACGTGCAAATCGTCTGGATCCCTGGCCACGCAGACATCGCGGGAAACGAGCAGGCAGACCAGGCTGCAAACACCGGAAGGACCCTCCCTCAAGAAACGGCCAAGATCGACCTCCCGTCGGCGAAAGTGGCCATCCGTGGTGTGTGCTGGAAGAAATGGTCTGGCACGTACCACACCACCGTGCCCCCGGAGCACACACACCGGAGAGCGACGGACGGGCGCTGCCTGAAGTATGAGAGTGAATGGGCCAGACGGGACCAGGTTCTGCTCCATCAGCTGCGAGCGAACCGCTGTCCACTGCTCCAAGCCACACTAGCCAGATGGAACAGGCCGGACACCGACGGCCTGTGTCCCGAGTGTGGCGTGCCGGAGGACACGGAACACGTGGTCTGTGAATGCCCGAAATACCAGGCGGCGCGGTCTGCGCTCCTCGGCCACACCCCGACACTGACGGTGCTACAAGAGGACCCGGACGCGGTGCTGAGGTTCTTCAGGAGGACTGGCCTCCTGCCGGAGGCCCGATGATCGGCCCGCCGGAATCGCCGGACAACAGAAGAAGAAGAAGATCTCGAGAACGGGTGGGCCGATTGTGCTCAAATTTGGCACATCGCTAGAGACCGGTTAGTAGGGTGCCGCGCACAACTCATTTGGAGGTACCCCCTCGCAATTTCGCACGTGCAAGGCTCACCCTCTCGCTCGCTCCGTTAGTCGCCCCAAAAGGCGTTATACTGGTAATACAAAATGTATACGTACGATGTTCATTCCCATATCAGCAATATTGTGGCATGTGTTTCGGGCACATTTAGGGCTGCGCTCTCCGAATATCCCATAATAAGTGGGAGCTCAGTCTTTTTGTTGTCGGTTGTGATCCACCGTGATAGCCTAACCAATTGTTTCGTTATTAGCGTATTAGAGCTGACTAACGATTTGCCACTGATGTTCCAGCCGAGACGCCGCCGGAGACCGAGTCACCGCTCGGTAAGGACGCAGCGGCGGCCCGGAAACGGAAAGTCGGTAAAGACGATATAGTGCGCATACAAAAAGACGACGTAGGTGAGTCAAATGAACGTTTAATCACTAATTAAGATGATTTATTCTACAAAGCGGGTGGTATGATATCTGGTCCCTGTGAGAGGTGATTGGGATGATATGTCAGGCCGACCAACAACAATCCTCGCGTACAACAGTCACTGATGGCCGATGATCCAACCCTTCTTTTAATGCTGAGGTTCATAGCCCGTATCTTTTTTAGGCTCGATTATCGGCTTTTCTTGTCGACTGACAAGAACATTAATTCTGTGAAATATTCGCTGAAATGTTTCAGATGGTAATGCCTGTTTTGCTCCGTTCCTCAGATTCTAATGGCTCCGACTCACCCAGTCGGAGTCGAGATCCGCCCAAACCGCCGATGTCGGGCCAGTGACCGGCGACCGGCGGCAACTAGCGCCACCTGTGGACGGTGGCGCCAACCAGAACTGAACTGCAGACGCGGGTACAAATATAGAGGGCGGGTGTGGCGGCGGGCGCTGGGGGTCGCTGGCTGATGACAGCGACTTTCCCAGCTCAGCTCAGCCCAGCCCTCATCCCTCTCCGGTGTGCGCGTGCGTGTGCGTGTGCAGTTATTTATTGAACACGCGTTGACAAACTGTTAGTTACCGAGTTTTCATCTGAGCTTCGTCAGCTTCGTGTCTTGCCGGGGTCGAGGATCTACCGTATGTGATGGGCTCTATTCAACCGCTGCGACCATTCTTGTCGTGGATGCCAAGTTTGCGACGCCTCCTCGCAAGATGAAGTGTCTTTTGCTCATTTTACTTCAAACGACGTTTTGGTAGGTTTTTAGCTGTGTTGCGTTTACTGTCTTCGATGTTTTGAACCGTTTTGCTTCTTGGCAGTGAATCTACCAATCTTGCCCCGTTGCCACGTGAATAAGCCACCAATCATGACAGCTGAACCTGATTCCGTGTCCCGTACGAGTCCTCGGCCCTGGCGGTTGACAGAGGGATCTTCAAGTTACACTATGTCGCATCGACACTTCATATGCAATCGATGTGTTCACTGTGACCTGTCTGGCTGTCTTGCTGCGATCGCGTGTGAATTGAGAGCGAAACCCATCCCTTCCCACCAGCGCCGACTGCTCTCTGTGCTCTACCCAACTTCTCCCCCACTCTCTCTGACTGCTCTGCCTTCCAAAGCGAATGGCGTGCGCAGTTGACACACAGTTGAGGGTACAGCACGTGAGCTAATGTATATGGGTACGGCGGGCGCGCGCTCGTGCGGAGTGGGGGCCGTTGTGCAGTTATCTCAAGAGTCCCGGCGAGGTCCGGACCCGTGTGCGAACGTATGGTATGCTATGGCCGTGCGGGATATGAGTAGATATCTTCAAAATGTGTGTTTTATGTAATGTTACTGCCTGTTTTGGAAATAAACAAATCAGTGCATATCATCTTTACATGTAGAAGTCCTAATAATCAATCTGATTAAGGAATTCGAAGTCGAGCGAGCTCACCTAGTTACGTTAAGTAGAGAACGGATTGCGAGGCCGGTGAACAAAAGCCTATAAATCCTGGGCACACTTCCTTTATGTCTCATGAGTTCATGACTCAACTCAAACTCCTGGGAATGAGCCGCGTGAATGAGTCACTCCCCGCACGCCGCTGGGCGCAGTTTTGAGCCACGTTGCAGTGTTCATTCCGTCACGATCTCCAACTCGTGTTTCACATTCTCCCCACCAGACACCATTTCTCAGGCTGGTTGACCGGTACGGGCGCGGCGGCGGTGCGAACAGACCATCGCTCCGCCCGTCAGCTGTCGTCCCGACCCGCCGCTGATACCGAGACTACATGCTGACTCGGACGTCCGACTCGGAGGCGGTCTAGTTACCGGGGGGGGGGGGGGGGGATCTGACCAGCGGACGTGACCGAGGGGCAGCAGACAGGACGTCCCACCGACCTCCGCGCGGCTGTGAGACGTGTGGGCAACCCTATCGTCGCGTGAAAACCCTGTGCACTGCAGACGACAAAGAACGTAAAGGTTTTTCGGTGTTTATTCAAAAACAAAGGGTTCTGTCAAAATATGACGTACACTCATTCGAATAAATTCAGTATAAGACGTTTTATTGTCCCTATTTGTCAGTGCCGGCGGCGGAAAACAAATCAATCAACACAATTGGCAAGAACATGCTACTACTGAGAAGCTATTTAGTAAAGGATATGGTTATCACGAAATCTTCTTATAGCAGCTGAAGATTGCCAATACGATTAACATGCGTGAGGCGGTCCCGGCCGCCCTCATCTATGTTAGGCTGGTCGTCCCCGCGCGTAGGCTGCCTAACTCAACTAGATAGCTACAAAACGACACGAGTGCTGCGCGCTGCTGCTGCCCCGCTAAAAGACGCTAGCGGCCTAGACCATGAGACGCTGAGATTCGATGTCGCTGCGCGCAGGCCGATCGCTCTCTCCTTCCCTCTTTCCCTCGTCAGTCTCCGGACCCAAGAAGCGCTGCCACTGAACACTTTCCGACAGAGTTGCACGTTGGATAGGCGCTGAGAGACGCGGCGCGGACAACTGAGGACCGAGAGGCGACTGCCTGTGTGACGGACCCGCCTAGCAAGCTGTGTCTGTTGTACACGTCAGACACTGTATCAGCGCCTCTGCTCTATACAGTATACAGTACGCATTTGTCGGACACTGGATACAGTGTGTAAGTCTGTCTCTACTCTCTGGAGACTGCACGCCGCCTGGAGGTTACGTCTGCGAACAGACAGACAACTCTGCCTACAGACAGACAGACTGGAGACAGCGCCGAACGCGCTCGGACGCAGCCGGCGGCGAGAGGCCACAACAATGTGACATGTCTCAGAACTCCCGTGTGTCGGGATTGCTCCCACTGACGGCAGTCATCGGAGAGGCGGCCGCGGCGACCGCTGAGGTCACCGAGGGTTACCACGGGTTACCGAGGGTCATGGCTCGTCCCCGAGGGTCCCCACGGGTCACTGAGAGCCTCTGCTTGCCACCACGGGTCACCAGAGGTCACCGAAGGTATCCACAGGTCACCGAGGGTCACGGCTGGCCACCAAAGGTCGCCGTTCGTCACCGGCCGGCTAGTGACCGCGGATGGCCTCCCGGGCCGCCAGTATGAGCGGGTGCAGACTGGCCAGCGGTCGACACGTCTTCATAAACGGATGTTTGAGGAGCTCGGCCGCTGTCGGCCGCTTGTCGACGTCCACCTCCAGACAGAGGTCAAGGAACGCCTGGAACTGGGCAGATAGTTTGTCCCGCTCCTTGATCTCCGGCCGCCCGTTGGTGGCGATCAGATAGAGCGCCCGGAGCGGGTTCTCGTTCAGATAGGGCGGCTCTCCCTCTATCATCTCAATGGCCATGATACCCAGGGACCAGACGTCCACCTTGGGCCCGTACTGTTTGCGGGTGACCACCTCCGGCGCCATCCAGTAGGGCGTACCCACCATAGTCGTCCTCTTGGTCTGTTCAGGCGAGATCTGAGCGCAGAACCCGAAGTCTGTCAGCTTCACCGAACCGTCCATACCGAGCAGAATGTTGTCTGATTTGATATCCCGATGGATGACGTGGTTGACATGCAGGAACTGCAGCGCCTGGAGTACCTCGCGACACACAGCCGCGATCTGACCCTCGTCCATGCACGTTTCGGTCACCACATCAGTCAGCGAGCCGCCGGGAAGGTACTCCATCACCACCCAGAGCTCCTCACCCACCAGGAAACTGTCCAGATAGTTCACCACGTTCGGGTGCTTGTTCTCCCGCATGACGACAATCTCGTTGATGATGAGCTCCTTCTTGGGCTGCTGGGAGAGGTTCATCTGTTTGATGGCCACCTCGCAGCCGGTGGCTGTCTCGATAGCTGTGTACACCGTGCCGGACGCACCCTGACCGATCTTCTCCATCTTGGTGTACTTGCGGTGCGGATCTCCGACAGTGACGATGCAGCGCAGACGGTCCAGGATTTCCTCGTCGGTCATTTTGCTCTTGGCGCGGCTGCGCGCCGGTGTAGACGGCGCCGCGGTCGGGTTCTTGTTGGTGTCGAGCGGCGCGCCGTTGGTGGGCGGTGTCGGCGGCGGCGGCAGCGTGGGCTCGTCATCCAGCGGCCGAGTGTAGATGGATTTGGTGCGCTCGGGCCGGGCGGCCACCGGCGGCGGCGGCGGGGACGCCTCCTCGGGCTCGTCGTCCTCCTCGTCGGCCACCTCTGCCGAGGCCGTGTCCGGCGTGCTGGCCGTGGCCGTCGAGGCCGACGACGTGTGTCGCGAGCCGGGCAGCGCCGCGCCGGCCGTGCTGCCCGGCTGAGAGCCGATGCTGGGCCGCGGAGAGCGCGTCGGCGACGCCCAGCTGCCGTGACTGTGGTCGGCCGACTTGGGCACCATGTACTTGGGGTGCTCCTTGTCCTTGTTGGAGGCGTCGTAGTAGTTGAGCACGTCGATGACCGCCTGCGGGTTCTTCTTCTGCTCCTGGATGCTGATGTTGGAGCTGCTCAGTAGCGACACCCACGCCTCAGGCATGCCGCTGAACTCGCCGGTGGTTGGGTCGAAGCCGACGTGCACAGTGTGCTCGAAATTCGTCGGATAGGATATGGCCGGCTTGTCAAAGTGTTTCTTGGTGACCTTGGCTTTGAGGCGGCGCTTTCGCTCGTCGTCGGGCTCCTTGGGCAGTGGCCGGGAGAGCTGGCCGGCCAGGAGGTCGGCGGGCGCGCGGTCACCGCCGCCCGACCGCACACTGGCCATCCGCACCGGAGGCGCCGGGGGCTTGTCCTCCATGGCTGCAGTCTGCTCTGTAACAGTGAGAAGGCTGTCAGAGGACATAGACAAATTAAAGGGTGATGCGCTGTTACCTACACAAAAAATGAATGACAATAAATCTGATAGCAATCATTTTTAAAAGCTTAAAGATTGAAAGTCAGGAGAACTAACAAGTTCAAATTGCAATGAGTTGCCTCTTGGATCTGCTAATTTTTCCAAGGTTGTAAAAATATACAGAATAAATCAATTTTACCTAGCTATGTAGATGCAGCCTGAATAAACTAGCAAAAAATTAACCTAATACCCATCTTCATTCAAATTTTGGCCACAGCAGACTGTCTGCATCATGGTTCAACTTCAAGCCAATGAGGCATTGATATATTCAAAAGATGCTAAGACTTTTTAGTTTTTATCAATTTAGCTTGAATGATGAAATGGATGGAAATTGGAATGACATAGCTGAATCCCACAGTAAGCAGGACTTGATGTGAAGAATTGACCGCTAGCTACACTCTGATCTCGCTGTTCCCAATAATGAGAGCATTCATGATTCAGATGAGTGATGTCAGGGTTCAGTGTACATGGACAGGGTTCAAAAGCAGGCATGGACTGCCCCACCCAAATTACTTTGACTGACTGCAGGTGCTCCCAAAAGCATATGACCATCACATCAGAGTTACCACAATATTGATAATTGAACACAGGAGCATCCGAGCCAGTAGTGAGTGACACATTTCCGCTCTCAACACAACACCAACACCTGGAGTCCTGATGCACTACAAACTGAGCTATACAAAATAACTAAATTTTAACTCAAAATAAACCAAAAACTTTGGTTCAGATCAAGAATTGTTCGGTGCAATGGTATGATTTTAGACATTATTGAAAGCAAAAGATACCAGCATTTTTAATCTCAAAATATAGCTCACATATACATAACCGCATAACATAGAGGGCTCATAAAGTTCAATCAAGCTGCATTGTATCCAATGAAAAGAATGTTTCCTTCCTAAATCGGCGAAATTAAATAAAAAAGCGTAAAAGACCCCCTACCTTCTCCTCCTAACACAAAATAACTCACGGATTCATGAATGTCAAATTCAGGGAATGAACGTTTCTTGAGAGAAGATAGGGAAAATGGAGATAATTTTGTTAAAGTGAAACAGAATCATGAATGAAGGTTTACTATGTTATTTTTCATAAACAGTATCATTTTTTCATTCATCATCATTCCAACTAGTGGTTAGAATTCTTTTTGATTTTTAGTGCTTTGAAATGCTTAAGAACATTTCTGACTTGAATTGAAGCAATAAGTTTTTAGTGAAACATCTCTAGATGTCTGAGATTATCTGAAAAAGTCGCTAAATTGCTTGCAATTTTGTGGTGAAAGTGAGTCATTTATGACGCATAGGAGACGACACAAAGTTAGGGCAATTTTTGTTATTATGGTATTTTGCGTTAGTAGTCATTTGTGGGCTATTATTATATTTATAGACAATAATTTGGTGGAATTTCACAAATTAAAATATAGCCTTTCACATGCATAGCCTGTTTGTGCTGTGTAACGAGTGGCGGAATTGGGCCAGTGTTTGGCATACCTATTGTTGATATATATAAATGTGTTGCTATTTCAATTTATTAACAGCCAGATTAGAAAAATCCATCCAGTATACTGGAGACTCCAGGCCCTGTCATGCACTTTAATTCGGTGCAACCATTCTGACCACGCTCCTGAATTTCAGAGATGTTTCAGGTATTGTTAATTCCATCGTGATCGGTGTAGCAGGCGGAACCTGCATTGCTGTCAAGCGGTGACTCTGCTGCCACTTCAGCACTGCAGCAACACCAGTAACATCCACCATCACCAGCCATGTACCAGGACTGGGTGTCACTGAGCATTGCTGTCCATGACCGGGAGGCTGAGACTCGCAGCGTGCTGAGCCGACTGCCTGCACCGGCGGGTCAGACTGTGGTGGCTGCCGTGGTGCGTGGCATTGCCTCAACACTTGGCATAGCCTCAGCCCCACAGCCGAGCCCGCTCTCTGCTGCTGCTGAGGTTGACTGGTGCATGGAGGTCAGTGATGGTAAAGCTCTGGCGACCCTTGGGCAGGGGAAGGAGGTCAACTGTGGCCATTGGGGATGGTTGACATGCCCTGGGACCAATTGGGAGGATAGTGAACCGTTGATAGAAGGGTGTTGATATGGAGTGGAACAGTCTGCATTCAAGTAAGCCTTTGGAAAAATGTGTTTGTCAGCTGTCACAGAAATATATTGACATTACTAGTTCAAACAACAGCCCACCTCAGTTGGGGGAGGTTTGGTCAATGGTTGTCATTTTTAGCACATGCCATTTTTGGCAACCATGTGCTAAAAATGACAACGCTATCAGCTATTTTTAGCAACGATGAAGCCGATTTCACTCCTCAGCGAGGAAATCACGATTTTGGAAATACAAGCACTGATTTTGGAAAAGAAGTGCTGCCACCTGGTGCAAGAAGAAGAAACCAGCTTTAATATGGCCGTTGTTTGTATGGTAGTCCAACGTTGAAGTATACCCTTTTTTGTGGCCCGAAGTTGGAACTTTAAATTGAAGCATCCGAAAATGATCGATATTGATCGAAATCATGATGTTGATGAAAAAAATAATATGTTAAGTTGAGAGAGGAGGCCATTTTATCCAGATGCGGTGGTTTACTTCTTGAAATTATTTTTGCTTACGACGACTGCCATGTAATGAGGGATAATTAGCAGCCGTCATTAGCAAAAATAATTTCAAGAAGTAAACTACTGCATCTGGATAAAATGGCCTCCTCTCTCAACTTAAAATATTATTTTTTTTCATCAACATCATGTTTTCGATCAATATCGATCATTTTCGGATGCTTCAATTTTAAGTTCCAACTTCAGGCCACAAAACAAACTACCATACAAATAACAGGCATATTAAAGCTGGATTCTTCGTCTTGCACCAGGTGGCAGCACTTCTTTTCCAAAATCAGTGTTTATCTTTCCAAAATCTTCATTTCCTCGCTGAGGAGTGAAATCGGCCTCATCGTTGTCAAAAATAGCAGAATCGTTGTCATTTTTAGCACGTGTGACAAAAATAGCACGTGCTAAAAATGACAACGATTGACCAAACCTCCCCCGACTGACCTAGATAATCACAGGTCAGGGAGGCACAGGATATTTTATGAGGGAGGATGGAACTGCCGGTTCAGCTGCCTTTCCCCATTACACTTTTAAAATGCAACAAATCCATTCTTTTCTCCTCCAGGCTCCGGGCCTGTCATCGCAGTGTCACCATCTCTCATAGCAGTAGCATCACCACTGACATTCAACCCCCCCTCTCCCCCCAGGTGATATGTCACGGCCTCAGCCTGCCTCTCTCCGAGCACGACACGATCCGCGACTGTGTCAACATCTACTGCGAGTGGCTGACGGCACTGCTGCCGGCGCCCAAACTCTGTGTGCCAGACGCCGTGCAGCAGAGGCCCAACCACTACTCGCGTCGGATGCTGAACCACCTGCAGAACCTGTTCGTACCGCGCAGCGATCAGTGTGAGTAGCGTAATTTTCGACCTGGGAAAGAATTAGTAATAGCGGAGGTGGAGGAGCCAGGAGGGGACCATTGAAATATAGTTACCTTCCGTAGTTATGAGTTGTGCAATGTGCAAGGCTGCCTTGATGGTTTTGTTTAAACTTAATGTCGAAATAAAAACGAATTGCTGGTGTAGGTATATACAGCGACACATTTAACGTCATATGTGTCAACTCTTTTGGAATGGATGAAAAACAAGCCCAGCTGATAGCCGTACGTCCTTATTCTCGATCCATTCCATCGGTTTCGAAAAGCTCACAGCGCAGGGAGAGGTGTTTATTGAAGTCTGACGATCCCTCTCATTGGCGTCTCCGGCAGCGATCGACACGATCAACCGTCAGGCGGTGCTGTGTCACCGCGTGCTGCGAACCGTTCAGAGCCTGTCCAACGAGCCGGCGCGCCTTGAACCGGACACGTGGTCCACGCTGCTGCTCTTCCTGCTGACCGTCAACGACTCGCTACTGTCGCCGCCCACCGTCAAAGGTAGGTTCACTGGAACAGGACGGGACAAGGACGGGTAGGGTAGGCGGGCGGGAAAAGGAGAGCCGGGGGTCGCCATTGTGACTCGTGCACTGTCTGCAAGGCCTTAGGTACATGTATGCATGCATAATGTTTGTTGTAGACTGTATAGTTTTGTGTTTGTGGTTGTATATTGTCGTCTAGGCTAGTTCCCGCTTAATTTTTATCCAAAAAGAGGTAGCACACGTACTAAATATTTAGTACGCTATTGTTGCCAAAGAATGATATTCCGCCGTATAAGATATTCCGGTGACGTAACAACGATGTCCTAGGATATTACGCAGATTTCCATCTGCCGTGAAAAAGACATTCGTACGTGCTCGTCAATTTCACCTCCCGCCGTACGGTATGATGTAGTACCTTTCTATTCCGTTCGACGCCCACCTAACCGCCGATCCCGCCAGATGACATCGGTGACCAGATGTACGAACGGGTGCTGGGAGTGCTGTTCGAGGTCTGGATCCAGGCCTGCTGCAAGTGCTTCCCGCCGCCGCCACTCTGGAAAACGTTCAGGTGAGGAGGCCCGAAGAGAGTCGTGCGGTGACCAGGAAATGAGGATGTCGTGGGTATCAGTCTTGTCTATCACAAATCCCAGGCAAAGAAAGGCATTTTTATCGGCGCCTTTCTTTTGATTCTGGATGCACTTTATTTGTTTTCTGGACGTTATTCATGGCTCCAGACAGCACATTCCTTTTCCGTGTACTATTAAATGCGTTTGCTTTTTTAGGCGTTGTTAATTCGCTCTTCCCCTCTCCCCGATCAGGGAGAGCTGCCTACACTGGCGGCACCGGCCCGGTCTGGTCGACCAGTGGAGTGTACTGACTGCTCTGTACCTCCGTCAGGGAGAGCTGCCTGCATTGGCGCCACCGGCCCGGTCTGGTCGACCAGTGGAGTGCCGTGATGACCGCACTCACCGCCCGTCTCCTGGAGTCCATGTACGGGCCTGGGTTCCCGGCGCTGGCTGTATCGGAGGAGGACGCCGTGCCGGCCTCCATGGCGCCCGAGGCGGTGGCGCAGACCTGGTACCGCATGCTGCATACCATCGGTACGTATACCGCAGACCTGGTACCGCATGCTGCATACCATCGGTACGTTAACGTATGCCGCGTGCTGCAGGACGTGCGGGTACAGTGTATGCTAGACGCTCGTTATAGGGAGATTGTGGGCAGTTATAGTGGTAGGCGCAGTTGTCGGTTACTCCAATTTAGTCAGTCTCCGCTCTCGATTGCGTTTTGCCATTGTGGAAGACAAAGTATTTTCACAATCACACAAGTGAAACCTTTTTAAAAGCTGTGATTGAACGTAAAACATGCTTCCGTTATGTCTTTCAAAAATCGTAGAATTATCGCAACATGAGGGACTTCAATGGAGGATCGCCCAGTTTCAACTTCCCCCTCCGTCCGTCCCGTCAGGTAACCCGGTGGAGATCAGCAGCGCGGCGGCGGTCAGCAGCACCCAGCAGTTTCTGCAGTACGCCATCAGTAGCGAGGCCGTCATCGAGCCGCACCAGCACCCCTGTCTCTCCCAGCTGCCGGCCATCTTCCACCGCGCCGTCAGAGCCATCTCGCTGCTCGTCAACGCCTTTTTAGGTGGGTGCAGGGATTCGGAGGGATTGGAATAGCATGACAGTCCCGTGGTGAACACCTAACTACATCTATGTTAATATGTGTTCCAAAGGCAGGCGATGTCCAGCGTCTCATCACCGCTAGTAGGAGCCACAGTCGTCCTAAGTTATTATGTTTTTGTGGCTGCCAGATCGGTATCTCGCCTGCACTTCTAAGTGCTTTACAAATATATGATTTTAGTCTCTCGCGCACCACTTCGTTTCCATTACCTATGGCGTTGTGATGACCCCTTTATCTTATCGCCTCTCTAACTCCGCCCACCGTCCCTCCTCAGGTGTCACCGAGCCTCCTTTAAATGAGTCCACCAGCAGCTCGGGCCCGCCAGTCCGTAAGGAGAGCTCGGTACTGAGTCCGTCCCCGGGCAGCGGCAGTGGTGTCACTCCGCCCGCGCAGAGGAGGCACACGCGCAGCATGGGGTCCGGATCGGCCGGGAAAGGTACGTTGTGGGAGAGAAGGGGGAGGCATTATTTTAGGGAGGAGAGATGAGAGAGGGAGTTGACCGTAGCCTACGCGTGTTGGAGGGAGAGCAGGGGGCACGAGCTTGTCCAGAAAGACGTCCCTGTTGACGTGACCACGGTCTACCGAGCTGCAGCGGCGAGACTCGCGCGTGCCCGTACCACCAACCAGTGGCCTCCTGGCTGGTACCGCACGCTGATGGAGGGGCGTCCCCCGCCACCGGTTCGTGGACCCAACAGGCTGGACGCAGTGGAGACTCACCAACTACGAGCAGGACACTGGTCCGGGTCAGCCCAGTACCTGCACAGAATCGGGCGGCACCCATCGCCGGAGTGCGCCCAGTGCAGTGATCGGGGATGCCGGGCAGGATGGTGCCGCGCCTGCGGCGAAGAGGCCGACACCCCGGACCATGTCCTTCTGCGGTGCCCGGCGCTGATGAACGCCCGGCTCCGCATCTTCGGCACCATCTTCCCGAGCCTGAGCGACGTGCGACGGGACGACGCGGTGGCGGCCCTGGCGAGGGTCGCCAGGTACCTCCAGAGCCGTTAGGCTACAGCTCACCAGAGCCTGGAGGGACAACACAACAACAACAGCTTGTCCAGAATGAAGAGGAATGGAAAAGGAACGTGGATGGATGGATAAATCGCGAAGGATGGGTGTCAGGCTGGCTTTCCAACGATTTAGGTTGGTGGTTAGAGGAGAGGTCAAGCATTGTATTGAGTGGCTGAGCTTAGATGATATCTTTTTGATAGAAATTCCTTCCTCTCTTCTAAGAAAAACGTCCTCTGTCTATTCCACAGGCAGCCGTGCGTCCATTATCGGCGGCCTGGGCTCCCGGACGGCCAGCGCTAGCTCACAGAGCGGCCCGGCCCCGTCCCAGTCGACGGCCGGGGGTGTAGGGGGCTCCTCGGAGCACCCCGCGCCGCCGCCGCCGCCGTCCGTCACCCAGCCGCTTCAGGCGCACTCCCCGGCCGCCGCTGCAGCTGCCGCTCCCGCCCCGGCTGCAGCAGCAGCAGCAGCTGCTGTATCGTCTGCAGCAGCCGCCGCCGCCGGAGGTACGGAACTGAACGGGGAACTTTGGTTATGTGGCGATTGGAAAGGCATATTGAGCCACGTCTATTTGGCATCATGAGATGATGTTCGATGAAGTATGACATTTATGTTATCCGTCATAATCGGTTTACGTCGTCAATCCTTTAATCACACATTCTCTTCTGCGCTTCCATATTACCATGTGTTTGTTTTTATGCTTGAATCTGTCTCGCATCTCCCAAGTCCCACCCCTTCTTGTGCTCTCCACGCTGACGCTCTTTACTCCACGCGGCCAGGCTCGGCTGACTCGGGCGCCGTCTCGCTGGCCCCGGGCCGCGCCAAGTGTAACAGCGTGCTCCACCTGTTCGGCGCGTGGCTGTTCGAGGCAGCACTGGTGGGGACCAGCGCACACAGCTCTGCCAAACACACGCAGGGTAAGGCGGTGACTTGAACGCGCTGAGGGATGGAGAGGGAGTCGGACTCGGTTATTAGGCATTACATGGTGGTGCTTATTGCTTATATATGATTCTGAAAGCTGATTGTGGTGTATAATTTCGTCGTCTGTGTAGAATCATGGAGATTGTGGCCGATTTTGATTGCTTAGCCTCAGGATAACATTTTATCGCATTGTTGGCATTTCATTGTTATGCAGTCAGCTAGGTTTCCTTTCGTGCGATTACTCATCTAACCTCTGCATTCATTTTTGGTGGCATTTCTGATTCCCCTGACTATAAAGCTCAGCTGCTACGTGACGCGTTCTTTACCCTCCACGCGGTCTGTGTCTCTCCAGGTCAGAGTAAGCGGGCCAGCGCCGCCTACCTCGACTCCCGTAAATCATCCACCAGCTCCCAGACGCCGGAGCCGGCCGACCTGCCGGCCACCGTCACCGCCGACAAGTTCGAGCGCGGCCGCGCAGAGGCGCTGGGCGCGCTCTGCCGCATCTTCTGCGCTAAGAAAACGTCCGAGGAGATTCTGCCGTCGTATCTGGCCAGCTTCTACCTGGTACTGCATGAGGTGCTATCAGATAGAGAGGTGGGTGTCGCCAATTGGGAGGGAAATGTCTGTCGGACGCGCTGCGCTGCTCGATATTCAGAAATAGGGTAGGGAAGTGGTCGAAGAGGGCGTTACTGGCTGGTCGTTGTGAATCGAAGCACTGCTGATTCTGTGAATCAGTCGCTGTTTGATAATGTTGTTTGGATGAGAATATTGTCGTCTGGGAAGTTTGACTGCTGCCGGCTAATATTATGCTGTTTTGTGACACGTTGTAGTGCCCCACTGACGCTGCCACAAAACTAGCTGCAGTATGCGTTTCCTCTGACAGTATTTGCGTCGTGCGTTGAGCGCCACCTTCGTTTCCCCGACCCCTAACTTAGTCTATCTCCCCCCGGCTGAACCACTTATCCCTCCGCAGGGCACCGAGGTGAGTCAGAACCTGGCGGCGATCCTGCTCAACTGCTCCAGTCTGCTGCAGCTGGACCTGGACGGCGTCAACTGTCTGCTGCCGGCGCTCACCGACGCCGTGCACCACGTCATCGCATCGCCGCGGCCCATCACTGTCAGGTGCGGACGCAGTGCACCGGGTTGTCGCAATCACCGGCTCGGAATCGTAACGTATTGGGTGATGAGAAGTTTGCTTTGTTAAACTGTATGATTGATTTGAACATATTGACCTATGAAATTGATCAAGACAGAGGGGCGAGCGCTACTTGCATGGTTTACTGTTTTTTTTTAGGCTATCGCGATTTAGCGCCAATATTGCAATTTTACACATTCGCCTCGTATCGTGCCCCAATGATATCTACCTTTAAGTACTAAGCTGGGTTTGCTGAAACGTTAGTACGAAGTAACTGAAGTTCACGGTGTGTTCTGAATTTGCAGGGACAGCGACGTATCAGGCGCCGCTCTCCGCCGGGCCTCCGTCCGTCTACTGGTCTCCATGCTCGCACTGCCGCTACACTTCCAGGTATGACCCAGAGTTCCATCCTGTACTTGCGTCTGTAGTGAGTCCATTGATAACACGCAGATATATCAGGGGTTACCTGCGGGTGAGCCTGTGTCAGGCGAAGTGCCCTCATCTCCTCTTCCCTACCGTCAAGGCTTACTTTCACGTGAGCCGGTGCCGGTTGAGAGCCTTGATCTCCCGTCCCCGCCTCGTCAGGGCTTGCTTGTGTCATGTGTGTGAGCCTGAGCCGGGAGGGAACGCTCATCTCTTCCTTATGTCTCCAGGGATTGCCGGTTCGTGAGCCGGTGCGGGGTGCCCTCACCTCTTCTCGTGTATCTAATTCGCCCCTATTCCAGGGTCTACCTGTCCGTGAGCCGGTGCCGGGTGACCGGCCTCCGGTGAGTTTTCTGCAGCTCCGTCCGCGGCTGGTTGGCCTGCTGGTGACCGGGCTGCAGCAGGAGGCAGACCCCGTCAACTGCCAGATGATGTTAGGTAAGAACCACAGGGGAGACGACCTCCTGAGAAGGGCAAGGGGGATGGCGGGGATCTGCAGCAGGAGGCAGACCCCGTCAACTGCCAGATGATGCTTGGTAAGAACAACGAACGTCAACTGTCAGATGTCAGATGCACCCTAAAGAGAGTAGGACGACGGGGAGAGCGGGAGCAGCAGGAGGCAGACCCCGTCAACTGCCAGATGACAGATGACAGATGACAACTGCCAGACCGACCCTTGTCAGGTGCCAGATGATGCTCGGTAAGAACAACGAAGGACGGGGGAGATGGTGTATGCGGAGGGGGGGGGGGGAGACAGAACAGAAAGTGACGGGGATATGAATGGCGATTGTGATGACGATGCTACACTGCACCGTGTAGATTTTGTGTTGTATACTTTCGTATGTGAATTAATTATCCAAGTCTTATTGTATTGATCGGCAGTCTTAGGAAAATAAATTGCGAGTTGAACAGTCTTTCTCCAGTTCAGTCAGTTTGGTTTATCCATCGCGTGGTTTTAAAGTGTATCCGCTGCTCCTCAGGCGGTCTGCTGATGTGTGTCCAGGACAGCGCGCTATATGAGGAGTCCTGTCACGGTCTGCACGACATCTCCACCGCGGCGGCTGCTGCTGGGTCGCAGCACGTCACATCAGGTCAGTCAGGGTTACTTGTCTGTGTGGGGATGGGTCATTCTTACCTGAAGGCCTGGAGAACAAACAGAGTGAAGGTGGACGTAATTGTCCTGCCGTGGTTTGGAGTTGCGGATATGGAGTGGCGCCGTAGTCCTGAAGGGAGAGATTTGCGCGCGCTGACCTCGGCTTGACAATGGCCAATGAGATAATCGTTTTCAGGTGACATTTACAGGTCTGAAGGGATAACAGAGCTGCTGCTATCCGGTAGCGTGTATTTGCTTATCGCTACAGCCCTGTTGCATAGGTAGCTATCAACCGTGAGTGAACGGAGTCTAACAACGAGTTCCATTTGCAAATGAAATTGCACATTATTGGACTAGCTAACAATAACTTGATATCCCCTACAAGGTGGAGCTTATATACATACATTTGGTTATTTATGATCTTACAAGCAGTTGCTGCTAACAACTGGAGGTCCTGAACTGTATATGAGTTGTAATATCAAATAATAAATTCGCAATAGCTTCATATGCTGAAATGTACCATATCATTCCAGAAGTAACGCATGTTCATAGCTGTTCCACAGCTGACATTGTGTATACTGTTTGCATTGACTTTGATCACCTTAATTTGCTCACCTATGTGACGTTGATCGTGTGCACGGTACTGATTTTGGCCTCCATTTTGGCTCCATTGTGCATTGTGCGCCGTGTGTCCACCTCTTCCCCAGCCGCGGCTCCGGACAGTATCAGCGCCTCGAGTGACGTCAGTTTTCCAGAGGACCCCACCGACGAACAGCTGGCCATCGGTAACACCTCACAGCGCACACACTCCCCGCCATCACCCGCACTGACCGATCGCCGTAGCTGCTTCTTCTTCGGTGGTGGAGCCTCCTTCGTTTCCGTCCGCACGCTATTATGTACTAGGGCTCACCTGTGTCGGCACTGGTGGCGGTCTGCGAATTTCAGCTGCCGGTTTTGTCCTTGGGACATGAAGACGGTCGCCTTTTCGTGCTTGGTAGCTTTGATATCTGGTTCTCTGCTTACTATCTATCTTTCCTCCTGACGGTGGTGGAAGTTGAAATCTTCTGCGATATCGGCTAGTTTCAGGTGCTAGACTGAAGGGTTTATTTCGTGTTAGTGTTTGTGTGTGGTGGGCACTTTGCACCAACATCTTGGAGTTTGGGACACAGCCAGACATCGCCTTGTTGACACTGATGTGTGTTTGTGGATGTTTGTGGGCGCTTGTGTGTTTGTGTCAGCACTCTGCACCTCTGCTCCGAACACTGAGGTGAGAGATGCATCCGGATCAGAGCTAGAACATTAGCGGCTAGTACTAAGTAAGCTGATAGAGAGAATGCCGTTCTTCTAGTCATTAGGATCTTAGGATTAATCGGTGAAGGTCTGGTGTCTGGCATGGTAAGGTGTTTGTTTATTGGGGGTTTTGGGCGCGCCGACTGCAAAGGTCAATTTGCGCATGGTAAGGTGTGCTACATGTTTCTTTCGTTGTGTTAAAGCTTTCAATGTCTCGTCTTATTTAGCCTCACGTTCTTCTTTCATTTGCTTGATTTGCAGCTCCTTGCAGCTTTTTCCTCTGAGGAAAAGTTTATCTTTTTTCAGAGATTCACGTTTGTCATTCGTTATGGATTTTGTAACAATAGGTCATTTGCTTGCTTGACGGAAGTCTGTTGACTTCATTTGTTTCTGTCTTTTTTTCAGCATTCTGATTTTTCAATCTAATTTATTGATTTTCGCTGCGCTTGAGCAAAGCAACATATTGCATCATATTTTACTGGAATGCGATACAGTCCCCTTGGTTGTCCCCCCCCCCCTATCCAACGTTTGTATCGTCATGTTGACGTCACCACCGTCCGTCAGACTCAGCGCGCGGCCTGTACGTGCGCGCCATCTACCTGGTGTGCCACCGTCTGATGACGTCTTGGAAAGCGGAGCTGAACACCTCGCTGGCGGCGCTGGAGCTGCTGGCCGGTCTGGCCAGGGTCCGACTCCAGCACCAGGGTAGGCTGGAGGGGGAAGGCGAAGGGATAAGAGAGGGAGAGGAGAGCCAGATAACGGTATTTGAGATGGAGTTACTTTGCTAACACCTTCGATGTACCATTTAATTGGAAATAAATTTAGCGATGTTTTTGCCATCTTTTTGTGTGTAAATAAAACGACTCAAAACTTGGAACTTATCCATTTCCCACGTTTTCATACGTTCTTTTCCCTTGTTTAGCACGCAGAAGATCCGGTGAGTATGAACCAATGTTTTATGTCGACTGAGTTTTTGGCTCTGGCTTCTGGGACACCCGCAAGTGCCTCGATGTCTTCAGAAAAGTCATCCCTTTTGGGAGCTGTTCTTGTAGTAATACTTAACTTTCGGCGTCATTTACGTCCTCCTGGACCGTCTTAACGTCAATTAATCATCATTTTCGCCTCTTTCCTTGTGCTTGCAGAATATTATTTGATTGCGCTCAACATTCTCTGACCACCCCAAATACTGACCGCCCCGGCTCTCCTCTCACAGACGTGGTCGAGTGTAAGCGGGCCGTCAAGTGGCTGTGTGACTACATCTGCCACCAGTGCTCCCGGCCGCCGCCGGCTCACTCCAAGGTAAGGGATATTACAGCTACCTAGTACCTACATCTCCTGACAGATTCCCTCCAAGGTAAGGAGATATGACAACACCTAACTACCTACATCTGCCACCAGTGCTTCCGACCGCCGCCGGCTCACTCCAAGGTAGGAAAGGTCATAATCATGATAGCAGTATTTGTAAGTAAAGTACCCGGCTATGTATTTTTACGCTGTTGCATAGTGCAAAGCTGGGTAAAACAAGCTTTAACAGTCCAGTCATGTTCACAGTGTCTATACACGACTGGTTACGCACTGTCAACTGTCTCCCCACGTGTCTCCACGTTTAACGTGTCGTGAGGGCACGTTAAACGTTCGGACTAAATTCTCCCATACAACTGGAATTGCGCGATCGGGTGGTGGGGTCAGGGTCAGCACAACAAGCTACCTGTGCTTAGTGCGGGCTCTGATTCCTCAAATCCACCCATTCAACCATTCGGACTAAATTTATAAAAAAATAAAAAAACTGTCTCCCCACTGTCTGCTCATTGTCTGGTCTTTCCCCGCATATCTGCGCACCGTCTGTTCCATGGTTGTTCATTGTCAGACTGTTAACCATTTCTCTCCCGCTTTCCTTCAGGACCTGCACTCTACTATAGTGGCTGCGTTCCGGTGTGTATCGGTGTGGCTGCTGGAGCACCCCTATCTGCTGGACGACAGGGATACGCTGGCCACTCTGTTGGAGGTGGTCGAGCTGGGGATCTCTGGCACCAAATCACAGGTATGAGAGAGTGGGAGGGAGGGGAAGAGGGAAGGAGGAGGGAGAGGGAGGGAGGGACACGCTGGCCACACTGCTGGAGGTGGTCGAGCTGGGCATATCCGGTACTAAGTCACAGGTGAGCGGGGACTGTTTTGCATCTTATTTTCCTTACAATGCATTCTAACAGTGGGTGCTCCCTCAGGAGTATCCTCTTTATCGAGTGTCGGTCTGACCACATAGCTCATAGCATACCTACCTCGCCCAATGTTTTACCACATCTCACGTCCACCTGTCTGGCATAATGTCCCACACTCTCACCACATGTCTCACCGTCCTGCTCTTGTTTCTCCCTCTCCACAGGCCAAGTACGGCGAGCCGCCCGTTATGAAGCACGACAAGCAGCTGAAGCCGGCCTCGATGAGGGTCAAGGAGGCCGCCGAGGCGCTCCTCTACGTGCTCATGGAACAGGTCGGTCGGAGTAGGACAAAGGTCACTGGTTTGGTCAGTCTGTAGGGACGGGTGGGATGGTATGCAGAGCATCAGATTTTATCGTCGGGTTTGTGTATGCAGGATTGAAAGTGCTGCCTGGTTTGGATTGGATGCTCATTGGATGCTCCGAATGTGTGGTTCTATTCCGCGTGTGTCTTGAGATCTAAAAATAATCAAGATACCTTCACGTTCCATGCCCTTACCTTGCGTCATACTGTCCTCATTGATTGCTTATAATAAGTATCCTTCTACTCTGGCAGGTGGACTACTTTCCGTGCGCCAGCGGTGTGTGGTCGCTGTCCATTACCCTCCCCCCCTCTCCTGTCCCACAGGTGGACTACTTCCCGTGCGCCAGCGGTGTGTGGTCGCTGTCCTCGCACCTCACGGAGGCGTCTCTGCTGCACCACTGCCACCCGGGCGGCGGACCGCAGCACCGCAAGGCGGCGCTCGCCCAGTTCAAGTACTTTGTCACCGAGAGCCTGCTGATCGCACTGCTCGAACAGCCGCTCGGGAATGACGAAGGTGAGGACTAGGAGACGCTTGTGTGGTCGTGAGTGATGAAGCTCGAACTCTCGACGTGTTTTTTGTTTCGTCTGAAGGGCCTTGACTAGGAAATGATACGCTGTGAATGAACGCTAGAAATGCCGAGTGGTTTTATCGGTTACAGTAATCGGGACAACGGCAGACATATTACCCCCGCCCCTGAATATTCAGTCCCGATGAAACTTACTTAATCAGTTTATCAATTATTATTCCAAATAATGGAGAATACCTATCGATGATTTACCACGCCTGATCTCTGAAAATTTTCGGACTTGAGCTCTCACCCTCCCCCTCCCCGGCCCGTTCAGACCCGCAGCCGACGGTGACGTGCCTGATGCGCGGCCCGTCCCTGCGCACCGCCTGGATGCTGCAGCTGCGCCACCTGCCCCGGCACAAGTCGGGCGCGCGGCTCACGTCCACCTCCAACCCGGGCCGGCCTCTGCCCATGTCTGAGCCGGCGACGAGACACAACATCACGCCGGCCTTCTTCCCGGACGCCGTCGATCGGATACCCAGCTGCAAGGCGTGAGTGGGGTGAGGGAAGGGAGAACGGAGAGGATGGAGCAGGTTAGGGTAAGTCTAACGGAGGAGGGAATGGACAGAGTCGGTTAGTGTGCAAGCTTGCTGCGATGTAGAGGAAAAACACGCTTGGCATACGTCACCTGCAGCTAATATTAGTTTCGTATTTATGACAATATACCGAGTCCAAACATTTGTAGTGAGTGGTCGTGTGAGTGCATTTATTTGTTTTGTTGCAGAGATCGTTCAATCCCGACGCTGGAGTCGCTCATTCAGGACCAGAAGTCGGCCTCTGAACACAACCAGATGCTGCACCTCATGGAACAACAGGTCGGTCAGGCATACACGTTAGCAATGGAATACTCAGCAATGACGGAGTGGTCACTTGGCAGACTGGCGCCGAAGTGAAACTATACTTTTCCTAGTCCATCCATGTATGAGTCATGCTAATAAGTTGTTTGGTTGCCGGCAGCCAATGTGCCTCTCAGCACTCAAACCCCGCCCGGTCCCGGCCTCCTGTCGTCCCCCAGATGAGTCGTGAGAGCGTGGCGCGCCGCGCGGTGGCCTCGCGCACGGCCAGCGCCGGCCTCAACATGGACACAGAGTGTGTGCCGCCGCCGCCCAGCCAGGAGTTTCAGACGGCGCGGCTGTTCCTCAGCCACTTCCAGCTGCTGGATGACTGGCCCACGGCTGGACAGGATAAACAGCAGGTGAGGACGAGATAGGTTGGAAAGCATCTGAGAAGAGGACAGAGCAGTCAGGAGGGGACTGATGAGGACATGGCTGGACGACTGGCCGACAACCGGACGGGATAAAGAGCGTGTGATGAGGAATGGGGCGGGACAGGACAGATAGCAGGCGGCGAGATGGGGCAGGACAGGTACCGAGGAGGAAGGAGACAGGGCAGACAGTGGGTGGGGACAGGACAGAACAAGAGATGAGGAGGGTACAGGATAGTTACCTAGGTGAAGACAAGACGACAGGGCAGAGGCTAGGGCAGGGTACTGTCGAGACAGGGAAGACAGCTGGTGAGGTGGGGCGGGACAGGACATCACTGGTTGCACAGGACAGGAAAAATAACATGTGGGGGAGAAGCCGGCACCACCTCTGCGCTGACCTCAGTGACCCTTTACTCACCGCTCTTACCTATTTCTCCACACTATCTCGCAGCAGCCGTCGTTCCGGCCGGGCCACCAGCTGGTGGCGCTGGACGCCCAGGCGCCCGGCTTCGCCGCCGATCTGGACGCCCTGGATGCCACCACGTTCCGCACGTGCGACACGGTGCACGTGTACTACGTGCGCAGCGGACAGACCAACGCCGCCAGCGTGCTGGCCAACGGGGTGAGACACGGTGGTAGGGGAGAGGGTGGGAGATAAGGCTGGTCATGGGAATGTTAGGGCCGGGTAGGATCCTCCGTAGCGCTGCGTGCAGCGCTAAGCTACCAATGGGATGGAGTATCACAAGTTCTAGATATTGGTAAAATAAAAACATGCCACTGAAGCTCACGGCTGTTCATCTTTTTCGTATTCATATTTCATATACATTCCTTTGTAGCAGCTACACATACTGCCTTTATCTTACTGCATAGGAGCGATGCTGCATGAGGAACAGAGGTAGGTTGGTACTTTTGGATCATAGGATGGGACAATAGGACCTCCCCACCCTCTAACTCTCTGTCTTGCCGTCAGGCGTCTCTGTCGTCGCTGGACGGCCCGTTCTCCGAGTTTCTGCTGTCGCTCGGCTGGCCCGTGGACGTCTCCATCCACCCGGGCTGGACCGGACGGCCCGAGACGTCGTTCAACACGGCCCAGCACGATAGTGGTGGGTGACGGGGGCACGATGGATGACGAGGGGATGTAAGGGGGCGGTAGAACTCTGGCCGGGGCTTATTGTTGTGACAGAAGAGGTTAACTGGTGGAGGCTAGCGGTAGCTTGTAAACTTGCAATCAGAAAAAGCAAGATGTAAGCCGCTATTTTTGGTTCGACTATAACGATGCGTGCTATTCCTCCCTCAAATGCGTTGCGTTTAGCGATATTGTGTACTGCGGAGTGTTTAGGATATTTCATCCCCAGCAGCCTCCTCCCTGCTGTTCTAACCTCCCTCTCCTCCCCACAGCGGGCCGCAGTGATCGCGCCCCGCCGGACCCTCCCTCCTACGACGGCTCGCGCTGGGCGCTCTACTGGGCGGACGCCCTCACTGAGGTGGCGTTTGTGGTACCGAGCTCCTCTGTCGGGCCGGCGGCGGGACCGGCGGCCGCGCCTGAGGCTGAGCGGAAGCGTCGCGGAGGGCCAGAGCCGCCCGTACTGGTCGTGTGGCTGGAGAGCTTCGATGACCACCTGACCTTCCCCTCCGGTAAGAGGGGATGTGTGTTTGTTAAATGTCTGTGTAACGTCGGCGGGTGTGTGCTGTATGTATGTGTGTGTGTGGGGGGGGGGATGTAAATGAGGTCTGAGGGGATCGAAGTGCTTAGGTGAAGCGATATTACGTCATAACGTGGTATCTGTGGACGACTTTAGATTGAGTTTATAGCTGCTGTGTATGTGCAACGATCTGCCCTCTCATGCTAAATCTGTGATGTTATTTGCTTCGAGTCTCTTGTGTTCTATTTTATTATGATGTTTGGCAACAAATTCCACTGTATGCTGATTTGTCTGACCATTCTTCCCTCTCCTACAGCGGAGCTGGCCGGAGACGCCTCCAACGCCAACTACATCATCTTCATCCACGCGCTGCAGAACAAGCTGTACAGGATCCACCTGCAGGGGCCCAGCGGAAAGTACGTGACACGTTTAGGAGATGACGCAGGCTGTGATTTTAGATGGGGTGAATTGGCGAGCCTTGCTTGTTTGAACGTAGATCAAGATGTGAACGTCCAGAGGCGAATGAGTTTATGCATGGCTCACCTGCACTACTTGATTTTTGAAGTTTTTGAGTTTAGTTTCTTTATGCTGGCTTCATTTCTGCCAATTTACCTTGGGGCTCTTCCATATGATCCCTCCCAACCCCCCTCCATCGTCTCTGACCTCCCTGATCCACCCTCAGGATGACGTTCGCCTCTCCGCTGGTGGAGGGTCTGGTCGTGAGTCGCCGCTCGCTCGGACACCTGGTCAGACAGACGGCCATCAACGTGTGTACACGCAGGCGGCTCGAGAACGAAAAGTACGTCAGCTGGGCGGCAGCGAGGGAAGTTTGTCCGGGATGGCGAAGAGAGTATGATTGCGTAGACATGGATAGGGGAAAGGGAGTCTCTGCGCCAGATCCATACTCCGTGGCATACTTGTGTCAGGAGAGGGTAGCTTTACTTGGTCAAAGTAAGAAGGCTAGATGAGGCTAGGTGAGAGGGCTGGCGTAGCCGTAGAAGCTCGGCTACAGGCTTGCTGGCTAGGATGTCATTACATTTTTTATGCGTGATAAATGTCACTTGGTATCAATAATTACTGGGGTCTGACAAGGGCAGAACAGTGACTCTCAGGTTATCTTCTCTCTTGTGGCGTTTCCAAGTCACCAGCGTACCCAACTGAGTCTGACCTAACACCTCCCCCCCCCCCCCCGCCCTCCGCGAGCAGCAGCCACCCTCCGCACGTACGGCGCAAGCAGAAGATCCAGGAGATGCTGATGAAATACCAGATGAACATGTCGCAGCCCGAGTTCTACACGATGCTCTTCTCGGCTGACGGCTCCCAGTGCTAAAACGCAATGACGTCGCATTGTGCGTGAGGGGTGACGTCATAACGATGACGTGTATGTGTGGGTGATGTCATCCATGAGATGGTGAGGTCAGACTTTGGTTTGATGTCTGTTTGTACATGTGTGTGAGTCATGAGGCATTGGTTGGTCGCATTTCGTTCTCTCGCTTGCGTCGCGCGTCCGTCGCCGCTGAAGAATCGGTGTGGTAATGTTGGACAATCAATGACGCTGGAGAACCCACGCAGCTTTTGATGTAGGTATAAGCTCCGTGCGTCCGTTACGAATTGCGTGGCGAGTGAACGCCGTATGTAAGAATATCTCCCCTGTCGAGGAGAGTATCTGTATCGGGGCCACAATGGTCATACGGGACCTCCCCCGTGTGTACGGGGCATAGGCTGCCTGTTGACATAGAGGCTATGTATTGTGTGATTGAGATCGCATCGCTTTGTACCGCCATGTACGATTTATTTATTGTGCAGCCATGGGCTCGCATCACAGCCGGTAATTGTGATTCGGCCGGTATTACTAGCTTGTTGATTGTTGCGTTTGCTTTCTGTGGTATGGTTTAAAGGGACCCTCCCACCTTAACATTAGTTTTGAGTTGAGATAGCCAAGTTTGCGGCCAGGCTGAGAAACCACCATTTATCCTGGTCGCAACCCCCGCAGCTTTATGGTGTTCAAGAAATTTCTTCCCTTTACTTGCAGGGTGGGACCAGCGTGGTCCCTATCTCTTAACCATTACGGGAATCTGATGACGTCATCAGGCTTTCGAACGTCCGTTAAATGTTTGACTAAAACGTTTTGTAGCACGCGGTGGTATATGCTGCTTTGCGCGCAACAAATGCCGCACTTTCAAATAAAGTCGCTAGGAACAGCGGAGATCCCAAAAAGTAAACAAAAGTAAAAGTCTAATATCTTGAAAACTGGTGAATATTTTTCGATGAAATTTGGTAGATATTCGTTTTTGCTCTTTCTGAACCGAGCGACATCACTTTCATGCCAATTCATTAACTTTTTTGAAGGTGGGAGGGTCCCTTTAAGTTTATATAAGCAAAGACGCAGCTTTGCCTAAATTTTATACTATATCGTTTTGTAGTCGAACATTGCACACCGCTTGTTTTGCACGATGTGGTTAAGTTGCGGCTGTAGACGCACCTGCACATTTGTACTTGGGGCGCACCAGATAGTAAGGGGACGGCCGAGCGCCGAGACCCGGCACGTACTTATGGGTAGACCCATATAGCTTTACCGTTGTTGGCTTGTGTTGTGGATGTTTCTACAAATATATTTACTTTTCGCAAACTGCTGTTGATTTACATTCTTTATTGCACTGGCATAAAAAAAAATCAACAACCTGTGACTGACACCCCAATGGGCAGTTGTGCGTAAACACTGGCACCTTGCAACCGTTTGCAAGAAAAAGCGCCAAGGCACAACAACTGGGTCCCTAAACGACACCTTACAAAAAAAAAACAGAGGTGAAAGAATGAACACTGGATGAGTTGGCAAGATATCCATGCATAAACGTTCAAGTGCGAGGTAGAAGTCTGCACAAAAACACTTGTAAAAGAACAACACCAGCAGGTGTAAGCTTCACAGCATATTGCAACATTATGCAATATTGCAACCTCCGGGTAAAAAGCAATGCAGGTAACAAAGCAGTATGAGCGCTGATACGCAAAAGCACAAAGTTGGCACACACAAACAGGCTCAGTGCACGTAGGAGTCTGAATGACATATCGTCCAGGAACAGTGCAAGCTAAAACAACACGAAAGGATCACGCCGTCACCCGCGCCTCCCCCCGATCCGCCCGTCCCTCCCCAGCCCAGGTCCCCCGTCTCACAGCCATCAGTAGCGCTCTCAGTCTCTCCCCGAGCCGCGGGAAGTCGCTCTCGGGCGGCGGACGGAGCTCCAGCACCCCAGCCAGACATTCAACCGCCCCGAACACCCCGGGCGCCGTCAGTACCCGAGTCAGCTCCCCGAGACTGGCACAGCTCTCCAACAGCTCGGCCGTCTCCGCCGCCTGCCGCCAGAGCAGGTGAAGCTCCGGGCCACTCTCGGTCGCGCTGGAGACCAGAGGAGCGCAGGCAGACAGGATTCGGGCCGGCTCACAGCTCGGGTTGTCCGGTCCCGGTTGGAAGAGCTGGTGGTCAGCGCTGAGGGCGGATTGTACCAGTCGCGGGGTCGGCGGGGAGGGAGCCACCAGACGCAGCGCCAGGGAGGGTGCTGAGGGACAGGAGGCGCACTCTGATAGGAGCTGGGAGAGCAGGTCAGTGGTGTTCCGCCCCGAGAGCAGGGGCGCCGCCCAGGCAGCAGCGGCAGCGCGCACCTCCTGCTCCTCATCCTGCAGGAGTCGGGCGGCGGCCAGGAGCAGAAGTAGGCGCAGCTCCGTCCCCTCCGCGCCTGCAGCCACCACAGAGGGCCATAGCGAGCTCAGAGCACACGCCGCGTGCCGCCGCGCGTCCTGACCACACCGGGGCGCGCTGTCAGCGAGAGTCCTCTCACAGGCGGCCCGCAGGAGTTGGGGGTCCTCCCCACCCGCCGCCAGCGCTGCCAGCGCCGGGAGAAGGTCCGGACCAGAGCGCAGCGCCGCCAGCACCGTCTGTTCAGCGCTGACCGCCCTGCGCAGCTCCGCAGCTCCGTCCAGGTGCCGCAGCGCCAGCTCCAGCGACCACTGCAGACGCCGGCCGCGACTGCCGGTCGAAAGCAGCCGGCCCGCGCGCCGCGCACACAGCACCGCACACTCCCCGCTGGGCGGACTGTCTGTCTGGTGGACGCTCTCTATTAGAGGGTCAGTGAGACGGTCTGCGGCGGTAGGATTCTTGGAGGATTCGGTGGCGCGGCGGATCACCTCAGCCGCCGAGGACGGCTCTCTGAGCAGGACTTTCACACTTGCAGCGAACAGCAGCGGATGTCCCGGCTCCCAGGGCCGTCCAGCGCCCTCCAGCACCGTTCTCCGCGCCAGTCGCAGCGCCGTCTCCAGCTCAGCACCAGCGGCAGAGTCGCAGACGGTCAGCTCCAGCGCCAGGTATTGTACTGCCGGACTAGGCGCCGCCAGCCCACGTCTGCACACCTCAGCCACTGCCGCCCTGTGAGCTGGTCGACCGGCCACCGCCCGCGCCAGCAGCAGCTGCCCGTGCAGCCGGTTACAGCCGCCGCCGCGGTCGGACAGCTGCTCGGACAGCTGCTGCTCGGTCAGCAGCGCCGACAGACAGCGGGCCGTCAGGTGACGGACGGCAGCCGCTGGAGAGCCGAGCAGGGGCGCCAGCGCGGCGCGGTACCGCTCCAGCAGCGGCGTCCAGCCGGCGGCGGCGGCGCCGGCGGCCGTCACTCGGGCCAGCAGCGTCAGCGCCGCCACCAGCGCTGGTCCGCCGGCGGCCAGCAGCGTCAGCAGCGGCTCGGCCAGCGCCGGCCAGCGGCCGAACAGCTCACCGAACGGCACTGAGTTGTGCCCGGAGACGTCGTCCCGGCTCTTGCGCTGGCCAATCAGACGCGGTACCACGGCGCCGTACAGCACCAGCGAGGCGTTCCTGCGAACGGAAAGGAATTTTAGAAGACTGTTCGCCCTTGCTGTACGTCAAAGGAGAGCCACCAGCATAGCGCTAAGTTTCAGGTCGACGGAAGTCCCGGTGAATCTTAACACGCGCAATGTCATGTAAAATGTAAAATTCAAGAGTCGATTCGCAAATATGAAACGTTTTCGCTGTTGGGGTTAGGTGGTCGAAATCCAGATGACCACGTGGATTCAAGGTACACTAAAAATTACGTGTTGTTTGTGCATCGTTAAACACATATGAATATAAACGGTTGACAATAATTCGACAATAAGTTCTTCAACAATAAACGTAAACGATAATTACGCTAAAACTATGTAAAATTTAGAAATAAGGTTCTAGCACAGCAGGGCAACATCAAAACATGTATCTTTCACTAGCGATCAAATACCGTCAAGCAATGACGGAGTCTATCAAGCGAGAAGCCATTCAACTTTAACGCCAGTAATGGAAGCGTCACCGCCCCTCCGATGACCTCCCGTGTGCGATGGACTCCCGTCGGGAGCGGGGCCAGGAGTGGACCGCCGGCCCGCCCAGCGCGGCCGGCACCGGCTCCGAGCCGCCGCCGAGCCGGCCGTGGATCCGGCGTCAGCTGGCGCGGCGCGGCGCCCCGCTGCCGCCGCCCACCGCCTCCCTGGAGGAGCACCTGCGCTACCATGAGCGGTACGCGGCGGCCGAGTGCGGCGGCGCCGGCCGGCGGCCCGGGCCCGGACCACCACCGCCTCTGGACGCCGCGCGCATCCTGCCGCTGCTCAGCCTCTTCTCGGGCGCCGAGCTGCGCGAGCTGCTGCTGCGCTTCTGCGACCAGCACGCGCTGCTGCTGCGCTGCTGCGGTCACAGCCCGCGCCGGCTGCGCGCCGAGCTGGCGCATGCGCTGGCGGAGCGCGTGAGCCGCGTCAGTGACGCCGAGCTATCGGCGGCCACGGGTGCCGCGCCGCCGCTCTGGCACACGCGCCTCTTCTGGCAGAAGGTGCTCGTGCTGCGCTGGCTCGGTATCGACGGTGACGCGGCGCCGGCGCGACATTTCCTGCGCAGCGAGCGGCGCGAGGCGTGCGCGGCGCCGCCGGCCGGCCCGGCGCGCTCCCGGTCCGGGGATCTGACAGCCGGCAGGCAGCGCAGCCGCCACGAGCTCGGTGAGCCGATGGAGCTGAACGGTAGACAGCCGACGGTCCTGGTTCACCTGCCGCCGGTGCACCTCATACCGAGCCGGTCCGTGGCACCGGCGGCATTCAGCACACCGGCGCCCACCAGAATACTGCTGGCGCCGCCCAACAGGTCAGTCATCTTCCGACCTTCACTGCTACCACCGCCGCCGCCGCCGCCGCCGCCGCCGCCGCCGCCTCCCTCCGTCCCAGTCCATGTGCCGCCAGCGAGCCGTACCTCCATAGTCCCGTCAGCGACACACAGTCCATTTGTTCTGGCCAGGCCGTGGCCACCGAAAGTCGCCAGACTGGACAGTCAGAGCTCCGCACCGCAGGCGTCTACTCCGCTGCTAGCGAATACGTCGGCAACACAGCAGAGCTCGACGCCTTTGGTGACAAACGCGTCGGAAGGACAGCAAACATTGACTCCTATCATGGAGACTTTGTCAGCAGGACAGCAAACGTCAACTCCGCTAGTGGCCAGCATATCAGCAGAGCAACAAACATCAAATTCTTTGATAGCCAGTGCATCGGCAGAACAGCAAACTTCTAATCATTTGGTAGCCAACATAACAGCTGAGGCGCAAACGTCGACACCGTTGGTAGCAAATGTGTCGGCAAAACAGCAAACATCGACACCGTTGGTCGCCAATAGGTCTGCAGTACAACAAACGTCGACTCCTTTATTAGCCAATGTGTCTGCAATTCAACAGACATCGGCTCCATTAATTGCCAGCGCATCAGCCGAACAGCAAACATCGACTCCCTTACTAGCCAGTGCATCAGCCGAACAACAAACATCCTTGCCGCTAGTTTTTCATTCAACTGACTTATATTCCTCCTCACAGCAGACGTCCACGGTGGATTTACCCACGGCTTCGACAAGTCAGCAGACGGACGCCCGGCCCGGCCCCAGCAGAAACCGAAACAAACAGAAACCCACCGGGAAGTCTGAGCCAAAGGAAACGCGTACCGCACGCCAACCATGCGAATGTGTCGGACGCCCCTGTCCGGAGCGAAAACCTCGCACCAATCGTAAATGTTCAGAATCAAAGGAGAGAAAGAGCAACAAGAAACCGGAAGAAGCGAACAAGGCCACAAAAGGTAAATGCACGTGTGGTCGAAAGGTGGATGAGACATCTAAAGCGACACAAGACCAACAGACGGATGAGGTTATGGAAGAGCAGGACACCAGCTCCCAGCAGGCTGGAAGCGCTCACGCCTGGGACCAACACACCCCCACCACAGCTCATCCTACCCTCCCTACCGACTCGGGACCTGTCGACTCCAGTTGGCTGCTGCGGCCGGACCGTCACTGCCCGGGGCGGGGGAGTTCAGTATCGGATCCTTCAGTACCGCCCCCACCAGATGCGGCCAGTGAGCAGACTCTCACGGAGCTGCACGGCCGGCTGCAGACGGCGCTGACGTTCGCTGGGCAGACGGGGAGTTCTATTGAACAGGGATACGACCAGAGATACGACCAGGGGTATAACGGCCAATACGAGAAGGAGAGCGACATGTCGTACGACAAGGAACACAACAGAGAGGACGACAGAATACACAGTGGGAGATACGAGAGAAGCCAGGAGCAAGGATACGAGGATAACAAGGAGAAGAGTGAGGTGCGGGACACTGAACAGGACAAAGAGTGTGACCAAGAGCCAACTCTCGAGATGAACGCTGACCAGGAGACCGGGCTGGCTGATGGGATGGTTTACGATCAGGACGAGCAAACCATGGACAGCGGTTTCGACAGAGACGGATCACCTAACAACCTCACCGGGAAAGATCAAACATCATCTTCGCTATCCGAACGAGCGACCTCACCTCGAACCAACTGGAGAGAAATAATAATCGAAAGCTGGCTAGACGACCGGTTGATGGTAGGGGACCTCAGGACGAGACCAGCTCAACACCAGGGGGACGATCACTACGAGGCCTTTCAAACTACCAGCCTATGGATTCAAGATCCGAACATCACACATAGCCAAGAGAGCACTCACGAGACTAACACCGGCGGTCGAAGCGGGGTGACACAGCAGAGTATGGAGTTCTCCGAGTCCAGTCCATCAGCCACTCTACAGAGGTGCCGTGAGATATCCGAGCGGGCCGAGCAGAGATATCAGGAGCTGGTGCGACTGGGAAGTCGGGCACTAAGGACACCGCGCCAGGAGGTGTCGACGGTGGACCACCTGCCGCCCCTGTCTCCAACTCCTGGTAATATGGCAGAGGGTCGCAGCTCCACTCAGCGGGGGTTGGAGGGAGCTGAAACTACCTTACCTCAGCTGAGGTCCATTCAGACGAGCAGGCAAGGGTCGGTGGAGGTGGATGAGACGTCATCTCAGCCGCAGTGTCCCAGCTGCGGGCTGCCCTGTGTCACCGCCAGCCCAGCCACCGCTACCAGAGAGGGTAGCCAGACTGGCACTGGCGTCAGACGGGGCAGCAGGTCCAGCGGACTGGATATTGGACAGATTCAGCAACAGCTGCAGCAGTCCATCAGTCGTCTGCAGCGACTGCAGCAGTCCGCCAGCCAGTCACATCAGCCCAGTCAGTCACAGCAATCAGACGGCCAGTCACAGCAAGTGAGCAGTCCCTCACAGCAGCAGCTGTTTACTAGGCAGTCACAGCACCGACCCAGCCTATCACATCAGCAATTACAGCAGCAGCTGGAACAGTCGATCACCCACCTACAGCAAGCGACCAGCCGTCTACAACAGCAGCTCCAACATGCCGCCAGTCATCCAACAGCACAGCCGAGTCTGTCCCAGCAGCAGTTACAACAGCAACTACAGCAGTCCATCTCTCAACTCCAGCACCAGCTTCAAAACTCTACCGACCAGCGATCTCGGCAGGCCACCCTGTCACAATCTCAGTCACCGCCCGCCGCTGGTCAAACCCAGCGCACAGTTGGCGCAGAGTTGTCAGCGGCCTTAGCCGACACCCAGTCGATATCTCAGTCACCACAGACCCCGTCTCCCTCCCTGTTCTCCGCCCGACAGTCGTGGTCAGAGTCGCCGCTGGCTGAATCAACACCGCGAGAAGTCGCCAGTGGTGAACTGGCTTCGGCTTCGCTACATGAGATGAACGAACATAGTACTGCTGGTAGTTCGCCGGGGTTTGCGAGGTCCGACCACCGCACGCTGAGGATTCCTGCACTCACTCCGGAACAGGAGTTAGCCGGGACCACGGAGATGGTACAGTCTGGGATTGGAATCCAGTATTTCCCGTCCATGGGACCTTGTAATGTTCTCAGCACGGATGTGACAGCAAACATGGAAACAAACACCACCGACGCAAACACTGGAAAAATAAACGCATCGAGACGTATAGAGATAAGCACGAATACGACTCCCGACAAAAATGTTTCACAAACGACAAAGGCCACCACAAGCAGCGCCTCATCCGAGAGACCCTTTGTGGTGACAGACGCCGCTTCAAACGCCGGTGTCAGCGAATCATCCCCGAGCCCAACAGCCGGTACGGACGGCACTTCTGCAGCCAAGACTCTCGGGACGGGAGCACAGGAGGCCGGGGAGCTCTCTACGTACGCCAGTGCCGAGGACCTGCCTCCGGTCACCGAGAGCCCCTCCACTGACACATGCCAGGTCAAGGTGTGCAACAAAATCGCCAAAATATAACACCTGGAATCTATGCTGTCTTTTGATTATGAATACCTAATGAATTCTAGCTGTTTGGAAAATTGATTTAAATAAAAAAGGTTTGCCATCAAACATGCATAAATACAATCCCAGCTGGCTAATAGAAATTGATCTCTACAAACCATTTAAACCGTTTCTAAGGTAAATTTTTAGTCTGGTTCCCGGCCTGCCCTTCCTCACCTGATACTCCAGACGGGCGAGGCCAGTCCGGCCAGGGCGGCACAGGTGACGTCACAGAGCCGTGACGTCACCTGTGCCGACACGACGGCGTCACTCATCAGGCCGGTGAGGATGTGAAGCGCGATGGTGTGCGGCAGGTCGGCCTCTGCGCCGTCAGCGTCCGCTGCACCGCTGGGGGATGGTGATGGCTCCGAGTCTGTGGTCAGAGCTTCACTACCGGCGCTGCAGTCTTCTACCCGCTGTTCGGTGGGGGCGGAGGCGGGGGTTGTGGGTGAGGGCGGCAGCGGACTGGCAGCCACCTCCAGTAGCGCCGACACAGTACTATCAGCCAGTCCGGGCTGTCTATCCGCCGCCAGTAGGGTATGTACCAACATCGGCAGGCCGGCACCGCGCCGTGTGGCCGAGCTCCGCGCGCCGCCCGCCCGCAGCTCGGCCAGCACGCCGCGCAGCACGGCCGCCGGCACGTCCCGCACGGCCCCGCTGGCGTGCCGTAGCGCGGCCGTGCTCAGCCGGCTCCAGGCGAGTCGCGCCGACTCGATGGCTCCTTTGTGTCGGCAGCCGGTAAGCACTCGTCGGATGGTGGCCACCACAGCGCGCAGAGTGGTCACAGACATCCCCGGTCCGCCGGCGGTGAGGCAGAAGGAGGTGACCTCTCCCAGGAACAGACTGCACTCCTTGAGGCTGAGCCAGCAGCAGGAGAGTACCAGCTGGTACTGGTTGGAGAGGGCCGAGGAGCGCGTGGTGTCCCCACCGGCGGCCGCCACCACTGACTCCACGGCCTCGCCCATGGCAGCGAACGACGGCGCCGTCCCTGAGGGGAGAGAAAGGGAGGACAGGTCAGTGTAGCAGCCACGGCAGCAACCATTATACGATGATAAGTGGGGCAGGGCATATTTTAAGGATTTTTCACTGCGTCCCAAAGGTGGCATAGGGCACATGCTTCGATCGGAAAGGGCACATTGCAAGCGAAATGGTAATTGTATATAATTTCATTTCACAAATAGTATAGTAGATGCAAGTGAGATAATGTACAGATACATGTGTCATTGTGTAGGGTAGAGCGGGGCAAAGCGCCCAGGGCGAGTAAAACGCCCACCCCTCTTATTTGTGAAATGCTCGACTTTTTAACGAATCCTTGATAGCCACTTTCAAGAACACGCAGGAATCTGCTTGTGCTTCCTTTTTTGGTTCCACAAGTGGAGCTTTCTGGACATAAAATACAGATTGATATAGGTACTGCTGATGTTTTCTAGAAATTAAAAGCTTTCTTAGTGCGAAAACTTTGTCTGATAGAGATTGAAGAAGGCAATACAATTTTGTTATGTTGAATATGCAGATTTAACCTATGCTTTGAGCATTTATTTGCTTGCAACACAATTGTGACAGGCTTATATTTGGCAAATTTTGTTTTGAATGTGTTGTTGGGGTAATACGAACACTTTGGTGTGGGGCAAAGTGCCCATCATGGGCCAATGGGAGTTATACAGCACGGGTTATTGCGAGCAATTTGGGCTCAAAGTGAGTGGCGGGATATGTTTCTATTGCTCAGGATTCTTATAAAATATGCAATTTTCTGGTTAGGATCGTCTAGAACGTTTTATTCGCGAGATATCTTTGCTCACCAGGGCAGTGACAGGCGTTGCCTGAATAAGGACTGGGGTGGCGACAGCAGTGTTTAACCTTGCAGGCGGTGGGGGGGGGGACATTTCCCCCCCCCCCCTTTAGTTTTTTTCTATATATCTCGAGAACCGCTGCGCCGATCGTCACCAAGCTTTCAGTACCCTCCCGTAAATAGCTATTGCACGTTGTGACCAAACGTTTTTTCCAAAGGCTATGATAGGTTGGCCGCAAATGACGTCAGAGTGACGTCATTTCTGCCATTTTCGACCCAAAAAAGGTTTCGCGAGAAGAGCTGTCAGGCCTACAGCTTTAGTGACACAGAAAAATGTTTCAAACATAAAAGGTGTAGAATTTCAAGGGCTACAAAACTGCTATCTCGGATTTTTGAAATTTTTGGATTCTGACCCCCAAAGATAAAAAAATAGATTTTTGAATACAAAAGCCGAAAAATCCAAAAAGTTTTTTGAATTTCGAAAAAAAAACGGAAGATGTGTTATAGTCCCTACCGCCTTCTATCCACATACCAAATTTGAGATCGACATATCTTGTTTTGGCCAAGTAATAGCGAAAAACTGTTGAAAATTGATGACGTCGAATTTTCAAACTCAATTTCTAGCAATTCTAGACCTCTTAGCGCAAAACAAAGACCACCATTAGACTCTCCGTCACGAGCTGCATCGAATCAATACCCATTTTATGCAAAAATATCAACTTTGAAATTTGACCTTTTTACCAGACCTTGACCTGACCTCCACCAGAAAGTGACCTTAACTGTACCTGATGGTCTTATAAACAACACCATTGAGTTGGAAATGAAAAACTGTCCATAAAACATGCATCGCACAACCTTAGTCAAGTTGGGTTCATGTGGAAACCTTTGGTGACCTTTGGTGACCTGACCTGTGACCTGACGTGGTATGACCAGTGACCTCTAATAGCAACATATGTACTAGACAACTGACGCCCTATCGCTGATTTTCGACAAAATGCGTTTTACTCGGTGTTATAGCGCTTTCCCTAGAAGCCCCGTGAACGGTAAAACATTTTATCTTTGACCTGACCTGTGACGTCATCGGTGACCCTGAGGTCAATGAAATTTGGTTTCCCTCAACAAATCTACAAATTTGACAGGGATATCGAACGCCGTTTGAATTTTCCGGATCCGTCCAGTAGTTTCGGAGATACGGGGGGGGGGGGCAAAAAATGCCCCCCACCGCGCGGAAGGTGGCCGGGAGGCCCACCGCCTGCCGGGTTAAGGTGTTTTTAATAATGCAATATGTCGAGTTGAGGTCTAATGAAATGAGGAATGGATGAATACTACATTATTTTGTCACAGTATCAAAATTGTGATGAAACATTCAGGACTGGGCGTTATGCCCACTCATATGGGCGTTATGCCCCACGGGTGGGGCAAAACGCCCGATCTGTAGTCCTCTCAAATTGGACGGCATATCTCAAATACTGTGCATGCCACACGTTTCTGATGTGTTATTTGAAGAAAGCTAAGGTAATGAGCTGATCAGCTACCTGGTTGTTCTTCAAATTTGTAAGATAAGGAGATACTGAGGCTGAAAAGTTAGGGTGGGCGCTTTGCCCACCCTACCCTACTGTGCTGGTGGAGGGGCAGCACGCGGGATATTGGGAGCGGGCTGTGATTGCTTTTGGCCAGTCTCGAAATTCGCCCAGTCGTGGCGCGTTCTTTATCCGCATTCAAAGGACGGACCGGCGATTTAATGACATTTATATTGCTGTTAGCCACTCGTTTTCCTGAACGGCGTTGGGAGTGTTCGACCTCCCTTGACGCACCAAGTTGTACCTATTTTTTAATGAATAAGAATAAATATGCGCATGATTAAAATGTGATACATACGTCTTTTCACGCGTTTTTCAACCCTATCAATCGATTCAAAATAGAGCTTGACGTGTGAAATATTGCCAATTCGCATTGAAGATACTATGTGTTTGAAATCATTAGATGACTTAAGGTCAAACAGTACCCACCCACCAGGCAGAGAATGGCACAGGGGCTCAAACTAGGGTAGGGCAGGGCACGGGGCCTGAAGACGGGAAGGCAGCGCATAAAATTTCGAGGCAGAATATATAAGGTATCGGGTTTGAGGGCAGGGCAGGGCGGGGCACAGAGCCTGAATGCAGAGCAAGGCGCAGGGCCTGGAGGAAGGGTAGGACAAGGAACAAGACCTAGGGACAGGGCACTGGGCAGGGCACATATTCCAGGGGTATAGTAGGGAAGAACATAATAACCCTCGCCCGCACATGGGGGGGGGGGGGTGGTTGCCACCCCCCCCCCCCCCAGGTAGTCTTTCTGCTCTGCACTCAACATTTTTAGAGCTAAAAGGCTGATTTTTGGTATAGCTGCTCCTCTATCCTTTCTTGATGTCCACTGAAAATTTCAAGTTTGTGATTTTTGGTTTCGGAGATATGACCTTGTTTGTCAGGTCATGTCATGACCCAAATGGCCAATTCTCAACATCTTGCGTTTGCCATGGGCCTTGTGAGCTTTTGACACCTTGATTTCGGCCTTTTTTGCCAGTCTTACCTCCCACCTATCATGGAACATGTTGTTCGACGATGTACAGGGGTCAAGGTCAGGGTCAAGGTCAACTTAGGTCATCTAAGATAATTGCGTTTTAGGCAAGCTGAATTTACTTTTTGTGAAGTTTTTTTGACTGCATTTTTGGTAAAAGCTTCTCAGATCATGATTTCATGTAATATGGACACAAAAACAATCGGTGCACACATCAGTATACACACAGACACACACAGACATACAAACACATATAACTGACCTTGACCTAACTTGACCTGAAATGACCTCAGCAGCAAAAATCTGGTCGGGTAGTGTGACAAAGAGGTTCTAGCTGGCTTGGCACCAGAAAACGGCATCGTCATCGGTATATGATAAGCAGCGCACTTGATATCCAACGGTGACCCAAAACAGCAACATTTTTTAGTTTGACCTGACCTGGAAGGTCAATGACTGACCTGAGAAGGTAAAATCGGGTATCATTGGATTTGTCTCTTCCCAAAGAATCTTTTTGGTCTTTACCGCTAAGCTCTATCTCCAACAGGAACGAAACGGCGCGGGGGGGGGTGGCAACCACCCCCCCCCCCCCATGTGCGTTCTAGGATGGGAAAATGGCATGTGCGGGCGAGGGATAAGGTGTACGACCTAGGGTAGGGCAGGGCACAACGACTGGAGAGGACATGTATGTTCTTAGGTACAAAGTAAATAAAGGCACAACGCAATCGGAAAGGCAACATCTGTTACACAGTAAAAGACCGAGGCATGTTACTTAGTTTTGCTCGCACTTTCCTCTGAAACCGTGGCATTTCAGTGTGGGACGCAGTGGTCCAAATTTCGCGAGGGCTACGTCCCAAAGGCAGGGGGCTGCGTCCCAAAATGGGACGCAGTCAGTATGTTAAAATATGCCCTGAAGTGGGGAGACGTAACACATTAGCTCACATATCGGGAAAATGAAGCAATTCGATCGCCTTTAGCATCATGTCTCATCAATGTTACTGGAAGTAAGTCAGGAAGCAAAACCATACGAAGCGGTGTAAAATTACCCCTCCACTCTCCAGTGCATCATAAAACACCCATGGGTTGAATAAGGACGAACTTACCTCCATGTTCATCCACCTGCTGTCCGGCCAGAGCCTTCAACATGGTATCCACCACGCCCTCCAACAACTTCACACACTTCTCCACCATCTCCTGCGTCAGTCCAGCCCCGTCCGTCCCGCACAGACACCGCCTCAGGCAGGCCAGTCGCCCGTGAACCGGCGCCTCTCTCGCCGCCCTGAACAGATCCCTCTTGGCTCCCTCCGCCTGACCCTCTGCCGCTGACAGGAGCTCCTCCAGCAGCTCCGTCGGCGGCCCGCCAGCCTCCGACCGACCGGCCTCGAACGACAGAAGACACAGCGCGGCCGCGGTCTCCACGTCATGGAAGTTGGGTCGGTCCGCCAGGCGGGCTGCCCAGTCGGTGAGCTGTTCTCGGTCGGAGGTGGCGAGCAGACCGGCAGGAATCCAGTAGGTGATGAGAAGTTTCAGCGCCGTCTCTCGAACATCATCCGTCTCGTCGTACAGACACAGTAGTAGCGTCCGCAGGCTATCGCGAGTCACGATATCCCAGGTAATCCCTCCGGGCCGGTGCTCGGCGAGGTACCGCAGCAGGACGGCAGTCTGCGGCGGGACCACGCCCTTCCGCGCCGCCCCAGCGCCCGCCGGCAGCGCGTAGAGGTGGGATACGATCTCCTGGAGCGCCCCCAGACAGGTACAGCGCCGCTGGAAACTACTGCCGGGTGAGAGTCCCTCCAGGACGGCGTCCACCAGCCCCCTGAGGAGGCGGAGCAGGTGTGTCGGCGGCGGCCGGCCGCGCAGACACGCCGTCCTCAGTCGCGGCACCAGACGGCGCAGCTCGGCGCACAGCGCGTGCCGCAGCGAGGAGCTGTCTGCCGATAAACACGAGACCAGCGCCGCCAGCAGCGGCGGACAGAGGTGGGCCGGCGGCGAGTCGACGGCCCGGCGTCCCCAGCAGGCAGCGGCCGCCGCCAGCCGCACCCCCGGCTCCGGGTGGGACAGACCGGCCCGCAGCGCCGCCTCCGCGTCCGGACCGGCGTCGGCGTCCGACTCACGGAGCAGTCTGACGGCGGCCAGTCGGGCCGTCCAGCCGGCGACCGAGTCGGCGGGCAGCAGCGTCAGCAGGCGGCGACCGGAGGCGGACCGGCAGCGGACGGCGGCCGGCAGCCAGCGCAGCAGGGCCGTCTGACACGTCTGACTGGAACGGACGCACGCCCGACGGCGGTCAGTCGAAGGAACGAATGTGAAATAAGTAAGGGACGGTTAAAGCCCACATATCAACACGAACAAGTAAATAATGTCAGCAATCAGACGTCCCATCACGTCAGTCGATCTGAAAAGCAATGTGAAATTACCATAATAGCTATGGCATTTCAACTATTTAACTAAATCGTATCCACGCAGATAATTGTCCTTCTAGGGACGTCCCACTGTCCCAGCTCACCTATCGTCTGACACCAGCAGGTCGGCCAGCTGTCTCTCCAGCTGCGGCAGCTGGTCGTCTGTGGCTGCCTGTAGCACCTCCTGGTAGAGGTCGGTGCTTATGGAGGCCAGGTGGTGGCCTGAGACGGCCTCCACCAGACCAGACGTCAGGTCCGGCACTCGGAGCAGAAGCTGGTCATGGAAAAGACAGGAAAGAAGGACGCGCGTTAAATGTGACATAGGAGGACGTAATACATTCAGTGGGCACAATACTCCGTTGATGAGGTGCGAATCCATCGTGATGGCGAATCCATCGCGTCTCCTAAATTCGCGATGTCTTTTTGAATTCATCAAGTCACTTACGCTGAAAACGACGCCTTCCCGGACTCCGAACGAAGCATGTGTGCTATTTGTCTGATAGAGCGCTATTAAATCGCTAAAAAGTTCAATAAAACCCCAACACCCTGATCCAAACAGAGCCCCACCCACCTCCTGGCAGCCGATGTGTTGCGACACCACATACAGCGTATGTAATTTAGTCTTGCTGCTCCACGGCAGCGCCGCCAGGGGTCGCAGCAGCTCGTCCACGTACTCTCCACCGGGCTGAAGTCGAGCGTGCAGCTGCAGGAGCGCCGCCCAGCAGCGCGTCAGCAGCTCGGGCAGCCCGTCACACTGGCGCTCCCAGCTGGAGGAAAGAGCTGCCGCCGCCGGACGCAGCAGCTCGGTAGTTAGAGCGTCCGACGGCGGCAGCGACGGCAGCGAGGCCAGCTGGTGGAGCAGCAAGTCCAGCAGGTGGAACGACTGGAAGATGTTGTAGGGAGTGGAGCAGAGGAGCAGCACCGCGCGGCTGAGGTGGAGTGACATCGGCCGGCGGTCCGGAGCGGTCACACCCAGCAGGTCCTGCTTCCCACAGCCGAACAGGCCAAGCAGCAGTGTCTGCTGGTGGTAGGAAGGCTGAGGGGACGGCAGCTCCAGCAGGGTCAGGAACTCGGCGGCTGCAGGCTCGGCAGGTTTCTGGTGAAGCAGCAGGCAGATGCTGATGGCAGTCAACAAGTTGGTCTCCTTTGGGTTGGAGGACTTGCTCAGCAGTGACAGCAGTAGGGTCTTGATCTCAGTCTGCTGGTCTTCTGAGAGATCAGACACCACAGTGCTGTCCTTCAGACAGTTCATACATTTCTGAAAAAAAAACAGGTCAGTCATTACAGAGACACTATGCACATTCACAATGGAAGTGTTAAGTACACAATTCAAAATCAATTTAGTGTGAGCAAAGCATAATGCAAAGGATTTTGTACATAAGCAGCTAACTTCATGTCGTTTACCACATTTTTTCATCATTTTCATTCAACTTCTTTTTTACATACCCTCACAGAAGCTTGAATGTCAATGTTGCAGCTGTCATTTTGATCATTTAAAAACTCTTTGATTGAAGACAGTGGTTCAAATAAGGTGGAACTCATTTTAATGTTAAGACTGCTAACCTGAAAAAGAGCAAACACCTGTCAAACAATGGCATGCAGAGAAGCTGAGTTGGCTGATCTAGGCAGTGAAGGAGGCAGGAAACACTTATGACAGCAAAAATACAAGCCAGCCCATAGGTACCAACCAGGATAGAGATTCACACCAGCCAGTCATAAATAAAACCTAAGAGTTGCATGATAAATTTGAAGTCCATTTTTTAGCATAAACTTAGGATAGGTTTTTAAGTATAAACTTAATAGGGACAATTTGTTAATTGCTGGATCTACTAATCCTCCTCATCTCTGGTGAGCTTAGCCAAGTCTTCAGCTTGAGCTGACCAAGAATGGCCAATCCTCACTCCATTCTGGTGACTGGTTACAAGTGACAACTTAAACGCAACTTAAACCAGCATTCCGCAGATCACAATTCACATTACCACAGTTCAATTGATAGTGACCAGATACCCACACCTCATCAGTACATGGAACATAGACTTAGAAATACTGAACCTCAAGAAAATCTGAGCTCTGTTCGCACCCCGTTTATTTATCAGCAGGCTGCGACCATGCTGCTACTTCTTGGCTCCTCATTGGTCGAATTCAAGTGGTCTATTTGCTAGACCAATGAGAGGCCAAGCCGTGCCAGCAATAACTTCCTTATATGGGCAAAACCGACAGCACGCTGGTATAAAAACTGCGAGCGAACAGGGCCCTGGTTAAAATTTAGTTTGCAGTCTGAGTGCTTTGTATCAGTATCGTAGCCTTCCATTTGGGGGACAGGAAGCCAGCTCAAGCTACTTTGGTTGTCTGAATTATACAAATTAGACTGAATCCCAGAGTCTGGAATGAAATCATCTTAGCAGGCTAAATCTATATTATAAATAGGCACTAAAAATTAAGATCCTTCCCGAGTCATGTCATCACAGGAATGATGAACACCAAACTGAAACCTTTATCTATTTATTTATTTACTTCGTAGTGGCCGTCCTCTACCTATGACTGGAGTCAAAGAGGCTATTCTTGGCATTGAGTCAATAAAATATGGCGATGAAGTGAGTAAAAGTCTTGAGTTTTGACCACAGTCCACCGGCATTGAGTTCACCAAAGAACCTTGAAATGCAACACCCTACTCACTACTGTAATGAACAATGCCTTGTTTATACCAGTTGGAAAACGAAGTTTCATAAAATGGACATGGACTGGACAATTTTTTACACAAATATCATGAAAAATGGAGAAAATAACATAAAAAATAAAAACATGCACCTCTCACGTGCTAGCTCGCCGGTAATAATGTGCTGCGCCATGAATGAAACATGACCACCAGTGATGTCGGCGAAAGGCTCCTAATTTGCAGCTATTTGCAGCCATACACTGTTTTCCTAAAAAGGCTCATCCATACGACCCAAGGAAAGTTCCAGTGAACAAAATAAATACCTATCAAACATACTCATTATCACGGTGAGAAATTCGAATGCTAGTTGCACGTAGGACCTGAGCGGTCGCACTTACGTGACATGGTGCAACGATTTTGGGAAGGACTTCAGAGCAGATATTTGACACCGGATCTCAAAGTACCCGGCCCGAGTACCTAACAACTTTTCTGGGATGAGTGGGACAAGCGTTTTTCTAAAATAACTCAAACTCATCGTCATTGCGCTCGTTCACGTTTCTCAGGATACGCACGTCTTAAATTTCCAGTCTCCAGTCTAATGCGTGGTTCACACCGGATCCGTAATGACGCCGTAACCGTTACGGCCGTAATGAGCTAGACATTTCTCAAGATTCCCCAAGCATTGCGACTTTTCTAGACGAAGTTGAAATGTGGCAACCAGCCGCCGTAAACTGGCAGCGTCCACCGTACTCGTTACGGAACGTAACAGAAGTTGGGAAAATTGAACTTTTCGGCCCGACCGGCCGCCGTAATGACTTTTGTTGACATGTATCTCCAAAACGGTTTGACTGTTTGATGAGCGGTCTTCTTTGGAGAGGGGATGTATCCTTTCTTCATGGAACTGTGCTATCCATAAAACTCATGAGTGCCTGTTACAGCGCGTGCCACGTGCGACGTGAGAGGTTCCAGAAGAGCTCGTCATTCCATTACTCGGGAACGGCTGAAGCGATACAGCTCAAAATTTGTTTGTTGTTTTGGCTGGGTGCACACTACACATCCGGTGACCGTTGAACGGTTTTGAATTCCTTCAGCGCGTGCGCACGTGCACACCCCTTTTTAATATCTCGGGATCTGCTGGGCCGATAGCGCTCATATTTTGTATGCTAGAGGACACCATGTAAATATGAATATTGCACAGGTTGGCAAAGACATTAGTATGCACGTGCGCACGTGCGTACCCCTTTTTAGTATGTGGCGATCGGCTGGTCCGATGGCGCTCATATTAAGTAGAGTGAAAAGCACTATGTTTTTAAGCATGTTGCACGGGCTGGCAAAGACATTGATTTGCACGTGCGCACGTGCGTACCCCTTTTTTATATCTGTGGATCGGTTGGGCCGATAGCGCTCATATTTTGTATGCTGAATTACACCATGTTTATAAGCAGATGGCACGGGTTGGCAAAGACATTGATTAGCACGTGCGCACGTGCGTACCCCTTTTTCATATCTGGGGATCCGCTGGGCCGATAGCGCTCATATTTTGTATGCTGAATAACACCATGATTATAAGCAGTTTGCACGGGTTGGCAAAGACATTGATTTGCACGTGCGCACGTGCGTACCCCTTCTCCATATCTGGGGATCCGCTGGGCCGATAGCGCTCATATTTTGTATGCTGAATAACACCATGATTATAAGCAGTTTGCACGGGTTGGCAAAGACATTGATTTGCACGTGCGCACGTGCGTACCCCTTCTCCATATCTGGGGATCCGCTGGGCCGATAACGCTCATATTAAGTATGCCGAATGACACCATGTTGACCTGCAGATTGTAATGGTCAGCGAGGGTATTGGCTAGCACGTGCGCACGTGCGCACCCTTTTTCCATAACCGCAGATCGGCTGGGCCGATAGAGCTTATATTAAGTATGCTGAATAACACCATGCATATTAGTAGACCTCACAGGTCAGCGAGCGTATTGGTCTGCACACGTGCGCGTGCTGACACTTTTTAATGACATTTTCCGATTGCTTGGGATTGCATCTTTGGTAGGTTAAGCCAAGGTATCGCCGAGCAGCTATGGAGCTTCCAAATGTCGACGAGGGCAGCGGTCTGCTCGTGCGCACGTGCGGACCCGTTTACCTTAGCTCGAATCAACCTGCCAATAATTATTATTTCTTGTGAGCATGCCCTCAGCGTGTAACGCTCACGGCTTACTTTGTATCTTGTATGTGGAGTTCTGAGTTCTGAGTTCTGAGTTTCATGGAGTTCTGAGCAAAGTTCACCGGCCATATTGTCCCTGCTACTTGCTAAATTTGATGCTTGGACTTGTAGATATTTGCAGACGTTTGAATCCACATTGCCTCTTGGCAAGCCAATCGAGCAGAGGGTATACGATACAGATTCTGGCGTCCGCTAGTATTCCCATCACCCACGAATAGCAAATAATGTAAGAAATAAACTTCAGCGTTGACGGTCATAGACATGCCCTCTTGTAATGCAAGAAATAGTGCAAGAATCTCCGTCCAGTGTTCTGCCCACCGGCGTTTAATTAACAATGATATGACTCGATACAATTGCAGACCGCTATGTCAGAGTGAAATTAACAAATTAAAAGGAAGAGAGTAAAACAAGTTTACATTCTGGCGCTCTGATATTAAAAACAGCTCTTGGCTTTAGCCCATTTTCCGCTTGCCTATAAACAAAATAGTGCTTTGGCGCACTTGACTCGAACGGTGACGCTCAGCGATGGCAATTCCCGGTGCACACCGAATCCGTAACCATTACGGCGTTACGGCGTCAAAAAATCGAACTACGCATGCGCGTTGCATTGTGCCCTCCACTTTCGAGATATTTTTTAATCGCCACCGTATTCATTACGGAACGTAACGGTCATTACGGATCCGGTGTGAACCACGCATTAAACACAACAGTAATACCGATCCGTCCATAGTTTATTCCCACACGATCGGAGGCAGACACAGACAAAAGTCTCTCGCGGCAGCGGCGGTGCCCACTCTGTACAGCTGGCACCGGCCGGCCCTCGAGACGCGAATGCGCGCCCTTCTGCCCTCTTGTCGTCACACATCACCCGTCTACTGGGCCGTATACATGTACAGCTCATGGGGCCGACCCTCCTCAGCGGTCCACCTCACCGAACACCACGTCCAGGGTTCCTGCCGAACAGATTAAACAGAGTTATACACAATAAAGAGCATCGCAATAACACAATACCAGAAGGCATTGACTTTTTGCACTTCTTAACATTATCAAATCAGAGAAATGAATTCATGACGCATGATGGAAAGTAGCGAAAATTCGGCGATCTGGCGACTGTGAAAAGGATTGATTCAATGCGAGCGTCGGCGACTCACCGATGATGGCTACGATGTCGGCCAGCATGTGGTTCTTGCCGATGTGATCCATGGCGGACAGGTGGACGAAGCCGGGCGCCTTGATCTTACACCTGGCGACAGAAAATGTGCAACGTAAATATCGAGCTGTAAAGACGGCTAGCTTGTTATGAGACAGAGTATGTGATTTTGCCAATCATGCACAAATTTGATCGGCTGACGAAATCGATGACCACATGATAATCTGACGCATCAATAAAGAACATAAGGCATAGCATAACCAAACTGACGACAAAACACGTTCCACTCACAGAAAAACGCAAAACATTGGTACCTAAATCCGAACTTTGGATATCGGTCAGAGCACGGTGAAACCAATTTATCAGAACACCCACTGCACTGCCGCTCGTGTGTCACCACCGTCTCACCTGTAGGGTTTGTTGGTGCCGTCCGACACCAGGTACACGCCGAACTCTCCCTTGGGCGCCTCGACGGCCGTGTAGGTGGCGCCCGGGGGTACCGAGTAGCCCTGCGTGTACAGCTTGAAGTGGTGGATCAGCGCCTCCATCGACTCCTGGCGGAACAAGCAGGGCGTGGGGGAGGCGGTGAGGGTGTGTTCAGGGTAAAGTACGCTCGTACTTGGCTCAAACTGCACTGCAGCACTGGCCATAGGTGTAACTAGTTAGGGTTTTGTTTCCGTCACAAACGTTGCATGGTATATAATTGTATGATTTAATCATTGAACTCTACGATTTTGTACGATGTGACCGGTAGGCGTACCTTCATCTCGGCCCGGCTGGGCGGCACCACCTTGTGGTCGTCGACCTTGATCTCGCCCGGCGGCATCTTGTTCAGACACTGCTCGATGATACGCACCGACTGACGCATCTCCTCCAGGCGACACAGGTACCTGGCGGGTTACAGGGCGGATCAGGGTCAGACGGGAGGGTCAAAGTCGGCCAGATGGGTTAACGTCAGGCAAAATAGTTAGAACATTAAGGGGGCAGAAGTAACCACAAGACACAGTCGGTGTGTTCGGCGGCGGAGGAACAAACAACATGGCGAGCCTCAAGACCATACAGACTGGCCCTCCCCTTTACAATATGCTACGTCTCTCATACATGTACTCGTATTCAAAGAGCGGCATCCCCTTCCCCTATGACAAGCCGTGCCCACCTGTCGTAAGTGTCGCCGTTGATGCCGATGGGGATGTCGAAGTCGACCTTGTCGTAGGCGTCGTACGGCTGCGACTTGCGCAGGTCCCACTCGATGCCGGAGCCTCGCAGCATCACTCCGCTGGAAACGTGGGGAGACGAGATGGTCAGCACGAGAGCGAGAGGGGAGACCCGGACGGTTGACATACAGTCGTAGTTTTACTGGCAATGACTCATAGGCGTTATATTCGTTTTTTTTTATCCATAAATTTCATTCATTGATTCATTCATTCATTCATTCATTCATTCATTCATTCATTCATTTATTAATTGATTCATTCATCATTCATTCATTCATTCACTCGTTCATTCATTCATTCATTCATCCATCCATCCATCCATCCATTCATTCATTCATTCATTCATTCATTCATTCATTCATTCATTCGGTCGTCCAGGTTTACATACACCACAGACACACATGCATCCGTTTCTCCATCCATTCTTTTGTTCGTATCCAGGCCTCATCAACTTCGTGACCACGTGACATAACCCATTCCGTAACCATCCCCCAAGACCCCGGTGCCCGACCTGTGACTGACCTGAATCCCCAGTTGAGCGCGTCCTCGGCGGTGACGGTGCCGATACCGACGGTGCGCTGCACCCACAGACGGTTGTTGGTCACCACGTCCTCCAGCTCGTCGATGCGCTCGTTGAACTTGGAGAGGAAGTCGTGGATGTCGTCAAGCAGGCCGATCGGAATGTCCTGATGACGAAACGGAAGGACGTTAGATCAGAGGAAAGAAGTGGGAGCAGATTGATTGTCTCAGTCTGATGTCGGTATGGCTGCGTGAGTAGGCCCATGAAAAGCGTGGAAATTAGATAATGTAAAAGAAGTACAAACGACGGAGGAGTGGTACTATCACCCCGCTCGCCCTGGGCCACTCGAAGCACGCCCACTTTGACTGATTAAAAACCACGCTCATCCCAAAATAGCAATACAGCTTTTTATCTTGAATCGTCAGGCTTTATACACTTGGTCCAGCGGTACCATACCAGCCCAAGCCACTCCGAGCCACTAATTGACCGGCCAGATGTCCTCATCCCTCGACCCTATACAGCCGTCCCAGGACCTACGATATTAGCCGCCCATGCATAAAACCCCGTCGTTCCACCGTCCTTACCTGCGACACACCGCCCGGTCGGATGTAGGCCGCGTGCATACGCGCTCCAGAGACGCGTTCGTAGAACTCCATCATCTTCTCGCGCTCCTCGAACATCCAGAAGAAGGGCGACAGCGCGCCGATGTCAAGGATGTGAGTGCAGATGCCCATGATGTGGTTCAGCAGACGCGTGATCTCGGCGAACATCGCTAGAAGGGGCGGGGGCGGAGTGTTAACGTAGCGCTTAGCAGTGACAACCGAGCAACGGCACGTCGTCCATATCCCCAGTAATGAAGTGTCTTGCTTGTAAGCGTTAATAAAAATTGCAAGCGAATATAGTTTGTAGGAACTAGAAATTAACCCAATCGAGGCAAGCCAAACGTTCGTGTAGTATCATGAGAAGCGTACAAAAGCGCTCACGCGTCATTATACCCGCCAAGAAGTAACCGCTGTAAAATGGAAAATTCGAACGACAGACCTATCAATGATTACGGGAAAATATTTGTATTCATTCCACACGCTCTCATTTTCAAAACACAGCCTCTCCAAAACAGATGTTCCACCCCGCCCACTCACTGCGGATCCACTTGGCACGTTCGGGCACGTCGATACCGAGCAGTTTCTCAACGGCCAGCGAGTAGGCCTGCTCGTTACACATCATCGAGACGTAGTCGAGCCGGTCGAAGTAGGGCAGCGCCTGCGTGTACGTCTTATACTCGATGAGCTTCTCTGTGCCGCGGTGCAGCAGACCGATGTGAGGGTCGGCGCGCAGTACGGTCTGATGGAGAGGGAGACAGGGAGGTCAGCGATAGGGCCACGGCTGTGGATGTGAAATGTACATCACCTCGATTACGTACTTCGGAACCGAGTGAGAGTAAACGCGGTCACTGCCTGCTTGTTTGGAGCAAAACTCTTATGTGACCACTGACAAGTATACAGAAAATGTTACTCTGCGACCGAATCATCTTTATCTATCAGAGCCGTTTCACCGAGAAGTAATAAAAGGCTTAGTCACTTGTTTGCCCAGCCTCCTAAGCATCGATGCACACCGATCCACCTCTTCAGTGCTACTGAACTCACCCCTTCAGCCCCACTGAGTGATTTGTATCAACCTCTCCCGCCAGTCTTCACTGACCTCTCCCTCCACCGCCTCTGCCCCCTCTATCTACAGCGCCACTAACCTCTCCCCCTCGACCCTCCAGCGCCACTGACCTCTCCCTCCTGGTGTCCTGTCCTGCTGCCCTCTCCCTCTCCCGTCCCGCCACTGACCTCTCCCTCGAGCTGCAGCACCAGCCGCAGCACGCCGTGAGCCGCCGGGTGCTGCGGTCCGAAGTTGAGCTGCATCATGTGGATCTTCTTCACCTCCGGCGAGACGTGCCGGTTGAAGTCGGGCCGGCGCCAGGCCACCTCGTCTTCTGCACCGGTGGTGATGACGGTGCCCTCAAACGGCTTCATGAACGCGGCGTCCGGGTACCAGCGCTTGGCGCCGCGCACCGGGCTGTGAGGGGGAGGGGGTGGAGGGGGGGGGTCACACGTCTGGGTACCAGCGCTTGACGCCGCGCACCGGGCTGTACGGGGGGGGGGGGGGGTGGAGGGGGAGGTGGAGATGGTAACACGACAGGATAACAGGCAACAGCTAAACGAAGCGACGTGAACTGTGACATTTCGACGCGAGACTTCACCACAGTCAAACTTGAGTACTAATTAATCTCCTATCACTACAAACATTAAAAGATAATGTATGACATCACTCGAGGAAAAGGAGATTTTTTTCTCTGATGGTCTCTAGAATTGAAATTGAAAGTAATTTATAAACAAATCACAATAATATCTTCCTCTTGGATCTAAAATTTGAGACAATGTAAAGAAGAGGTTTTCAATTTTTTAAAGAACCAAGAGAGCCCAATCAGGCAGAAACTTTCTTAGCTGTGTCCTTTTTGCTATAATTGAGGATAAATTCATCCCTTCTCAGTAACACACAAATAATACTACAAGTTTTTTTTTTAAACTAGTGTGTCTTTCCAAAAGAGAGTGAAAAAACAAGAGTCTTGAGTCATGAGTAACTTGAGGTACCAGCCAAGCAGGTCAAAGCTGGGAATGATGTATACCAGGGCAGACATGGATGTCACCTGACTTGACATGACTCATGAGTCATGCAGGCTCTAGTGAATGTTTTTAGCTGGTGTAGGCAAGTGTGTTTTATGGCATGAGAGCATTTAATGGATCAGTATGGTCTGGAATAAAGTTCTGTCTGTCTTTCTGTCAGCCAATGACCTCAGAGGTCAGAGATCAGCTCAGGTGAGATTTATTTGGTCAGAAGCTTGGGAACTTATAAAAAGATCCTTTCCTGTTAAATTCAGTTGACAATAATGTATGAGAGACTGCTAACTGCTAGGTGTAAAAATGTGCAAAATGAAATACCCTTACATGAACTAAACCTTAATTCTATGTTATATGAGCATGTTTAACCAGTCCCCAAAGGTACAGCTATGAAAGTCATGCACATGGCAACAACAAAACACAAACATCTCTGATACAATGTTTTTGTTTTTGTTAAGCCTTACCTGGCAAGAATGGCTGGTGACTTCCCATTGAGGAGGGTCTTGGAGAGGTTCAGGGAGCCAGATGCTATTGCCTTGGCTAGATTCCCTGCCATGGCTGCAGTGAATCTGCAGCTCCCTGGCACTCAGTGCTGTGAAATTACATAAATGACACTGTTAAAATGGACATGCAAGGGAAATATTAGTGCAGAATATTACAAACATCTACATACATAACTCAAGCATGTGTTACATAACACAGCTAACACAACGTGCTGTGCCCTGTAATATGAACTCCATGCACCTACTTGAAAACTTGCTTATGGAAGCTCATACAACAGACATATTTTAAGTTTACTTTGACCAAAAGGAAATTAACAAGTCCATAGAGGTCCAAGGATTAACTAATTTCAGTGAAGCAATTCATAAACTCGACTCCTCCACTAGTTCGTTTCTTTGGCTTGTGTCAACCAGCCTTATATAAACCTTTTTAAGAACTTTCATGAGCGACTGGGTTATCAATCCCTAATGTTATTTCCTCCCAAGATTTAACTCTAACACAAAAAAAGAAATTAACATTGAAATGCATATAAATGGCAGATTTAGAATTCAAAGTGACTTCAGCTTCACAAACTCTTCATTACTGAAAATTACATGAATAAGCTGAGTAGCTTATCCTGTAGCATAAAATGTATTTAATGATAAATTGAGCGCGTTTAATTTTAATTGGATGGTACACTCATTTACCTTGAGAGCGGCTGTTATTATCCCCAAAAAAGTGGGATGTCAGAGAATAAAACATGGGGGTCTTGCATGGGGGTAAACTAGAAAGGAAGAATGCAGAAAATACATCTAATACGCAGTTGTGACAATATATAATCGAAACCCGCAGCTAATTTTAAAGTTGCCTTACACTTCAACATCTGCAAAAATGGAATGAGCTAAACCTGAAGTAGGCAGATACAGTTATGGTATTTCTTCGCCCAAATTAAGTGAAATGAATATAAACTCAAATTTTGAAATAATGAGCAACAATACAATGATCTATCATGATAGAAAGGGCATAGCAGGCTGACTAATAGTAGAAGCTCCGGTGAATAACGATTGGGGTATTTTTGTTAGAAGGCTCACTTCATTTCAAGTTAAACACTTGAGTTTTTCGCTTTATAGACAAGCTTATCCCCTTAGGATAACGGCATCAAAACGGCATTCATTCATTTTCGAGCATACTATTCAACTATCGAAAAGGACCAGTTGCTTACTCACCTCTGATTGGCTAAATCTTACGTCATTGGCGAGGCGCCTGCGCTGAAGCACAGGGGTCGGATAACGAGCATAGGACTCATTCGAACGGTAATAAATGTTTTGATAAGCAACTTTTGAAGCTCATTCTCAACATACATATAATTCAAAGCCCAAAGCAGTTGCATTTTCTGATCATGGGTATTGATAATGGAAAGAAATTTGATCGACAATAAATGGCGCATCTCGCCTTGGTCCGTATTGTTTACATTGGGGGCAGAAGAAAAGAGCACGCTGGTGTTACGGTTGCCAATGATAAGATCTCATTTTAATGATAAGAGGATTTTTGTTTGTCAACTGGTGAGTGAAGCATTATATTCAACTAGTGTCTCTAAGTCCTGTCCTACCTTAATTGCTGAAATGAAACAGCTTGTTGTTTTTGGCTTGGTCTTTTTTCCCTTGAGTTAATTTTGATGCGCTATTCTAATTCAATGGATTTCTTACAGACATGTATCATCTGGCTTAAATACCTGCAAGAAATAAAATTATGACATTAACATGAGTAGATGCCTTAGCCTATATTTCCTTAATTGAGTTTGCGCGCTGTGAGTTGTGCGTCTTGGTCGTGCTGCGCACTGCGCAGGCTGGCTTTGTAATTGGCGCAGCTTGTAGGTGCGTGCATGTATTGTGGCTAAACATGCAATTTGAATTGACTTTCTCTTTCAGACATGAACCAAATTAGGTGATTTGTTTCTGATTGAACATTAAAATTATCTCAATGTCGGGCTTATTTGTCAGTCAAGTGCAAGTGCTGATGCATAATCTTACCTTACCTTACCTTACCTTACTGTTGGCGGGACTTTGGGAGGCCAGAGGCCTTTTGGACCCGTTCTCATCGAGTCTCTTTGAATCTCGGTTATTGCTCTAGCTTAAGTAAATTGTTTGATTTATCAGCACAATACCTCTAGCTAGAATCTTTCATCAGTTTAACATTATAAGTTGCTGCCAGAATTTAAAGATTGACTTAAAATATACACCTTAGTGTCTGGAGAACCAAGAGTCTCCAATGAAGTATTTTACTTTGACAACTAGAGGCATTTAGAGTTCAAAATGCTACTTTGCATTATTCCATATTATTACCCTCAAAATGAGTTCCACAGGTCATATGTAGGCCATAGTCAGTGGCGGATCCTGGGGGGGGTCCACGGGGTCATGACCCCCCCCAAAAGGTCTGAGAGGGTCATTTGACCCCCCCCAAAAGCCGAAGACCTAAATGCGCTATAGACGCCGTCTTGCATACTCAAAATCACCTATCAAACACTTCTGAGCTAATACCTTTGTTTTTCTGGATCGTGTTGCGTGAAAAGGCGTATTGAAGGCCAGAATCTTACTCGTTTTTGTCTCAAACGTGCGAGCACCAGGGGATGATCCAGGAAAACTCCAAGGGGATGGTCATGAATTTAATTCGTGGTGCCCCTACCTATACGCAAAATTAAAAACTCAACGGATTTCGGCCACTTAATTTTGGTGATGTCCTATTTCCATTATTCTTATTTTGTTTGTTTTATTTTTAGTGCTCCTGGGCCCTGGCAGGTCAAAATCACGTCGGAGGCGAAAGAAATTCACGGGAATCCCAAAAATCACGTCAGGACATTCAGGGCCCTCTGACCAGCCTGACAGCTAGGGCCCTTCTTACTTCCTGGGGCCTCCAGTGAATAACCGCTATAGTGTCTGTGTCTGACCGCTAGGGCCCCTCTGACTCCTCAGTAGGTAGGAGGCCCTCTGTAGAGGAGGCCCTCTGTAGAAAGGAGGCCCTCAGTAGAGAGGAGACCCCTTTAGAGAGGAGGCCCTCTGTAGAGAGGAGACCATCTGTAGAGAGAAGGCTCTATGTAGAGAGGAGGCCCTGTGTAGAGAGGAGGCCCTCTGTGGAAAGGAGACCACCTGAATGCAGAAGGCCCTCTGAAGAGAGGAGACCCGCTGTAGAGAGGAGGCTCTCTGAAGAAAGGAGGCTCTCTGTAGAGAAGAGGCCCTCTGAAGAGAGGAGGCCCTTTGCAGAGATGAGGTCCTCTGGCTCTTTGAAGAGAGGAGGCCCTCTGTAAAGGAGGCCCTCTGAAAGGGAGAGACCCTCAGTAGAGAGGAAGCCCTCTGTAGAGAGGAGGCCTTCTGTAGTTAAGAGGCCCTGTGAAAAGAGGAGATGAAAAGAGGAGGCCCGCAGTAGAGATCGGTGGTCCTCTGTAGAGAGGAGGCCCCCTCTGTGTTTTGACAAATGTTTTTGCAAATTTTTCGCGGCGCTTCGCGCCGCCGATTCATGTACATACGTACAGGTCAATACGAAATCGTGACTGTAATTACATAAACCAACCGTGTCAAATTGAATCAGAATTCATATATGTACTGTGAAGGAATTCCGGCTTGTACTGCCATGCTAAAAGGGTGGTAAAATTTGTGTTTTGGAACTGTGTTTTGACACAGTCTTTTGCAAATTTTCTCGGCGCTTCGCGCCGCCGATTTGTACACCAATCAATAAGAGAGATCGTGACTGTAATAACACCAACAGTGTCAAATTAAATCGGAATTCATATGTGTACTGTGAAGGAACTCCGGCTTGTACTAGCATGCTAAAAGGGTTGCAATATTTGTGTTTTAGAGCTGTGTTTTGACAACTTTTTTTGCAAATTTTTGCGGCGCTTCGCGCCGCCGATTCATACACAAGTCAATAAGAGAGATCGTGACTGTATGCTAGTAATGCATTGGGCTAAAAGTGAGGTAACTATATCTACTTCTGGGTTTTTAAGTCGGTCGATCCACCCCCACCGTCCCCCCCCCCAGTAAAAAATCCGTGGCGACGGGTTTCACTAACAACTACTGAGCCAAGTGACTTACGATAAAACTTCATCTTAGAAACGACGAAGATCAAATGTCATTTGATCTCGACATACTCGCTCCCTACCCCCCCCCCCCCCCCCGGTCGTCAGAATTCATTCATCAGACCTGGCATGTCGGCCGACTGGTGACCCCCCCCAAAACGTTCCCCTAGATCCGCCCTTGGCCATAGTTAGTTTTTTATCACTACAGTAGCTGCTATAACTGCTGCCTCCAGGCCTCGAAGTCTTGGTATAGTGCAGCTATGGTATTATCATTTGCCTTGTTTAAGTCAATGTACATGAAAATTTATCCATTCATTGTCATCACTTTGAGTGCATGTGCTGGATTGTCTAATGAAGTGTGCAAAGCTGAAAATAGCTCAAATATAAGTTGAATTATTTTGATCAAGCAACTATTTATTGTTTCAAACAGATGACCATTCATAACTTCCTACAGCATTGTATGGTCACTAGGTAGTAGGTACCAGAGCTAAACTTACTGAGCAATTATTAGCAGTTTCAATGTCTCCTAGCCAAATGATAAAATGCATTCATCAATTCATCTTTTTTCCTGCTATAGCTGAAACATTCTGAAAAGTGGATTGACAATGTCAGTGTCTGTGCTAAGCAGATTTTTGTTAGTGGGTCCCAACCAGTGACATGTCAGGAAATTCTAGGTTAGGTATCAGATAAAGTTTTCCATAGATACAGATGTACCCTCATGGCAGGACATGGTGCATTTCACTCGACTAACCTCAAGTGCTGTGGCTGCTCCCACCTTACTGCAGACTATTCCCATCAGGAGTCTCGTATATCTTGTAGCTCAGTTGGTAGAGCGTTGGACTCCGCGTGGTGGGAGCACGCGCTCCCGGCTATAACAGTCTGGGTTCAAGTCAGTGAGGGGACCGGCCGTGCGCAGCTATGTTCGCACGTTAAACTTTGGACTCCAAATTCAGCCATAGAGCAGGAATTGCGCGATCGGAGGGTAGAAGGCGGGGTCACCGCTTCACCGAAACAAGCTATGCTTAGCGGGGCTCTGTCCTTGTGAATCCTTCCATTCAAAATGTTCAGACTAAATTTATTTTAAAAAATGTATATATTGGGTGCCAGAGGGACTCTAAGCTGGGCTTAAACCTATAGAAATCAACCGCCCTATCAAATGAGCTACTGAACAAACGATATCGACCTGGGCAAAAAAAAACTCGATTGAACTTGTCCAAACTTATCGACTACTTTGCAACACGACAAGTTCGGCCGGGTCAAGTCGCGAGTGCGACCGTAAACCTGGATCTGACGTCTGATGACATGCTATGGAAGAGAAGCCCGTAAATGAGCCATTGCTTGCTATATAAAACTTTTCTTGCTATTATCCACAAAGTATGTCGTGTTTTGTTTCATGTCGTTTTGTAGTAGTTTTGAGGAGCATTGAACCAGTCTATTTCCGCTAGGTATGTATGTAGTCTACGAGTTAACAGTGAGGGAGACTTGGGTGAAATTCCCTTTCAATAACCATTGTATCAGATCATTCCCATGTGATATGCTGGATCCAACGAGATGAGCAAGCAGTAAACATCGCCCTCTTGCAGGGGTAAAAGACACCAGCCAGCACCTCACAATCCGTCCGCATTTTTTGCGTAAATAGATCGGGTTCTTTCCCACTTTACATATTTGCACTTTCTGTGCAGAAGTATTACTTCAATGCCTTTTTTGCAAGTTTAAAATTTAAATGAATGGATTTGTTCAACTAGGGTTTTACCTTCAGCATTAAGAAATACTGTTATAGGTATAGCACACGGA